AATGATGGAGGTTCCCACACAGAATCAGAAAAACCCGGTTTAACCAGAGTATTTACAGACCGACTAGAACTCCGCCCCGTAGAAGGTGCTGCACCTAACTCCGGGTCGGAGGTCAATGTCGTCAGCTGAATTGGTGGAAGGTCAGTGTCGATTTCTGCAATGACCCGCCCGCTCGGAGGAGGCGTTCCCCCGAACCGGTTGAAGTCCGCAACGGAAAACTCAGAGCCACTCAGCACCCCCCTTTTGTCAGGAGGGGCCCCGAGCAGAGCATCCCTGCACGCACCTACACCTCCCGGGCCGGGTTGCCTTCCCAAGCCCGTGAGAGAGGTGTGCGCAGCAACCACCGAGCCACCTTTAATATCGCCACTGACCACAGGACTGCTGGAAACCGCAGGGTTTTCTGCGTCGTCGTGGTCACCTGTAAGAGAAATCACAGGAAAGAGAGCACAGAGGCCCGAGACTAAGTCACACCCCTGTGAAAGGAGAAAAGAATTGGCCACCGTATTAGCAGAGGTCACAAACTGAAAAGTGACAAGGTCATTCACATAAAGGTCAAGATGTCCGGGCACAAACCCCCCAAATGGCCTGGTAGCTCCGTCCGGAGACCACAAGCGTTTCACGGCGGCTGACGATTCCATCACGCCCCGATAAAGAAGCTGGTTTGTGCATGAGGCGGACTGACGAGTAAAACAGACCTCTGGCTGAAGCGGTGGATCACAGCCTGAAGATTTCACACCCATGCTGGAGGGATGTTCAGCCTTTAACATGGATGACAGAGGAGAAGCATTAGGAACCAAAGGGTTAAGCACAACCTGTTTGTCAGAGAGGTTAACCATAGGCTCAAGAGATTTATTCAGCTTAAAAGCAGCAGAGAAAGTGTTGTTTATTTCAAACCTTGATGTTGATGGTGGGTTTTTGACCCCTTGGAAGAAACAAAGGTAAAGAAAAAGCGTTATGACTGTAAACAGCATGCTGCTCGAATTCACGACATGAAGTGCAGACCAGAACCACCTCCGACCCAGTGCAGCTGGCACCGAACCGCAGCCACTAGTCCCCACTGTTCCCGACCGGCGGCACCCGCCTAAAACGGGCCCGTTCGGGCGGGCGGAGGGACCAGCGATGCTCGGCCGGTGAATTTCCTGCGTCTTGGCATGTTCTGGAAGCAGAACGTCAGAGAACCTTACATCAGGTGTAACAGTGCAAGAAAGATTTTGTCGTGTCTCGTCCATCTCCCATTAAGTTCAGAGCAACTCGCGTTTCTACCTTCTGAGCCGACGTAAAACTCCGGGCAGATTCCTTAATATGTCTCACACAACAAGGACTGTCCGTAGCCTACTTAACTTTATGACACAGGGTAAAATAAGGAATTGTTGATAGAGAAATGAATACACACAACTTCACAAGATGGAAGAAAAAGGCATGGAACCGAGCAACGGAGGCTGTGAAAGCCGACCCGTTCACCGGTCCAAAATAAAAAATAATAAAAAAAAATAACAAACCCTACGCTGCCGTATTGGTGTCAGACGGACAAACGTAGCAAAATGTAGATTCTACACACCGTAGCGATTTACAAGAATCACCGCCAATGCGGGTTTTGTGAGGACACAGACTGACTGTGCCAGAAATGATGACAATTTAACGGGACGCGTGCCCTATTTGTCTAACTGTGGCGCTAGCTTAGCTCTCCGGCTAGTTCTAGCGTTCTTTGTCTGTAGCGACCAGACTTAAATTTTCCCGATTAACAAGTAGGCATCTCGCTCCACTTTTAATACGGACTTTAAAAAAAACGTACGCAATCTGAATGCAGTAACGCGTAACGGCTGTGCCTCGCTTTACGACGTTTACCGAGCAGTCAAGCTCCGGCAGGTGTCACCGAGCATTCCGTTTAAAAAACGCACGCAATCTGAATGCAGTAGAAACTTCTTTCACAATAGCTCGCCCACAGTGTCAACACACTGAGACGAAAGGTGTCCGAGAATTCAGTCTCGGTTCTGAGGTTCGGAGAATATAGTGATAATTTTAGGAACTGAGGATAAGCTGCACGGTAGCTCACCCAGCGATGATCAGAGCGGAAACGGAGCGTTCCGACCTGAGGTTAGATTGGAGACGCGGCGGCGCGTCAAAATGGACAGAATTTAGTCAAAAGCACAACTCACACGTTCGCTCCGAAGGCGAAGATGGGATAAATCAAAGTTAGGTCTGTAATTTGCGGTCAATTTGAGATCGGAGATCTTCCCGGCCAAGTTTCCACCAGGACGACGCCTCGCGGAAGAGTGACTTCAACGGAACAATTTCCGGTTAATTTCAAAATAAGACATCAAAGTGAAACACAGATAAAAGCGTTGTTTGCAGCTTTTAGATGTAAGAAATCAGATAAATCGCAGATATAGAAGACTGGATACGCTCGCCATTAAATGTAGCGTTATGGATTTATGCTCTTTTATGAAAGAGAAACCATGCTACGTATTAATTCGGAATATTAATTTTAATAAATCAATAACCAAATTTTATATTGTTCAGAAGACTCAAAGGTTGTTTTCATCCATAAACTGCCGATAATATCTGAGTGTCTGTGTTTCAGTTCAATGAGGAAACCAGTTTGACGTTTAAAAGTTTTAATTCTTCAAATTAAACTAATGATTTTGAAATTGACAAACAGGAAATACAATCAACATTAGTAACTTTGTGGGACAATCTCTTTAACAGTTGATATGCTGTTAATGCTCAAATAGACCTTCTGTAGGTGAATGAAGATTGAGAGTGATATGATGTGATTATGGATGCGTGTGGGTGCCAAGTGTAGTGAGAATTGAACATGAGATGAGATGAATGCATGTGTGCCTCTGATGTTGCTTCAGGAAGAAACAGGTGTCTGAGTGAAGTGATGGTTTGAATAAACTTAGGTTTAGTGGAAAAGATGCATCAAAACGCTATCTGTCGTGTTTTGCCTCACCGAAAATCGGACCCTCTGTTGGACCCGGGACGTCACCTTAGGATGTTTCATCCAGGTCACCTTGGCTGGCAAAGAAGACAAAGATGCGCTGCGACCCGGTCCAGAGTTGCCCCTCGGTACACGTTGATGGTAAAGCGTTTTGTCGACGCGCTTTCTTAAGTTAATTCACTCAGAAATCAAAAGACTCGGTAATGAGTCTGCGTTAGAAGTTGCGATTCAGCTATTCTGCCTGGCGTGGCAGAAACAGCGTGAGAGGAGGGGGGGGGATTGAGCCCATGGGCTCCGTTCCCCGTTAGCGGTTGTTCACAAGTCCTCTCTCTCTCGTGGCCCAACACGAACTGAATCATAAGACTGAAGCTTACCAAAAACCTTTCTCTTCTCAAAGCAAACGTGCGTCATCAAATGTGTCTGGAGTTTACTGTGAGCAGGTGTGTGTGGATGTGTGTGAATGTTTGTGCTTGAGTGTGTGTGAAGGTCAGTAACAAACATTCTCAACATTATTTAAGAATGGATTCATTAAACCATTATAATTACCCCAAAGCTAAATAGTCATTCATTTGATTAATCACATTTATAATGAGCAAAATGATAATGGTTACTTTAACATTAAAATCAAGAAAAAGAAGTTTAAACTTTATGTTTTGACTTGGTCTGGGTACAACTCATGTAAACACATCTTCTGGTAGACTGCAGGTGGCAGATGTTATGGTTTCCTCCCAGACTCGCTGGCGTTCAGGTCTTAATCTGTGGGTGAAAGTTCTCAGCGACCCAGCTTTGACACAGCTGAGTCCAACACCACCTTTGTGATAGAAAACCCATATTTCCTCACGTTACATGTGCTAAAGAGGTTCAGAGGTAAAAACCACATTTACCTTGTTGCTTAATATAGACAGCTGGGGGTGTCTAACGTACCAAAACCCTGTGTCGTCTCTGATCCACCTTCCTATGTAAATTATTCATGTTGTAATGGCCGCTGAGAAATGATTCATTCAGCAAAAAGCTGGTTTAACATGTCGTGTAGACACACTCCATCCATCTGCATGTTTCAGTGTCAGCTAAATGAAATAGATATGCCACCATTACATTACCAGTAGAAATATAATGGTATTACCATTTCCAGTAGCTTACAACGGAACACGTTAAAGGAGCCAGATCATGCTATTTTAAATCTACGAGAGCAAAGGTAGGTACAATATATGATCAAATATTACTGTTGGCACTATTGGGATGTCATTTCATCTTAAATTAGATATTTTTGTCAGCCTATTTGAAGCAGTGACGTTCCACTGCCTTTCCGCGCCGCTGATGCTTCCAGTGTGAAATGGGGTTCACAAGCATGTACTCGGGCGTTTTGGACAACCTAAGGCTGTGGTTGGCACTAAATGCACTACGAATTATTACTGTGTGCTTTTCAGCAAAAACTGTTACTGTTCTATATCGTCGTGTTGTTGACGCAGGGATATTTTGGTTGTGTTGTGTTTTTGTGTGCCCTTTTCTTTCTCTCTCGCTCTCGCTCTCTCTCTCTTTATGCAGGTCTAGCAGCGGATTCTTGTACAGCCTTAATTATTTATTTTTTTGAACCCCTCCCCACCTCTTCTTTCCTCTCCCTGCTTTCTGTTTTATTTCTGTCTACGTGTCCGGTGGGTTTAAAAAGAAAAAGTAATCCATCTGGTTGCACACTCTGGATTCGACACTACCAGGATGGGGAGGGGCATTGCGTGATGATGCAAAAGTTTTCTATCCAGGCTCTTTGTAGGTCTGCAGAGGAGCTGCAGGTCATATGTCAGAGACCTGCAGGTCAGAGAGAAGAACGCATGCGTGAACCCAAAAACCGGTTTGAGGGTGTTTTTGATGAGGAAAAAGCACTTGAACATTCACGACGTTCACTAAGCTCATCATTTTGCATGATGTAGGAAACTGAAATCGGTATCAGCCATCAGAAGCAGATTTTAAATGCTTCTCTCAAAATGTTGACTGCATTTGCAACAATCTGAACAAATGTTTGCTTTGATTATATAAGAAATGTTTGACTTGTGTGTGTTTCCAGTCGCTCCGGTGTGATTGAGAAGTTGGAGGCCTTGGAGCTGGAGAATCAGGAGAGGATGGAGGTGGAAGAGTTGGGGGCTGGTGAAGTCAGACAGGGCCGCAGTGAGCACAGGCATCTCTATAGAGAGGTAACCCAGCTGCACACGTTTATCCAGTTCAACTGGAGCTAAAAGTACAATAAGGACAAAACCATCAAGCACCAGTTTTTGTCCAGTACACATCGAGGGCTGGGTACCAAAGAAGTACCGAGTTTTGGTACCCAGCCTGAGTAACACCACCCCATGGCCTCTTTCATTCTTCCTCTGTTTTCCTGTCTTCTCACCCGATTTATTGTCCCATCTTCTCCAGTCCACTTGTGTTTTGGTTGTAGGTCAAAGGTGAGTTGTGTGTTCTTTACTTATTTTCAGTTTCCGTCCTTTAGTGGGATTCCCCTGGTGATCCTGCTTCCCTTCCCCACCCTGGACCTTCACTCTCATAATGGATTAGACCTGAGCAGAGCAGAGACCTGGCTCTGATAGTCCTTGACCTTTGACATTTATGCACAAATGGAAATTACTCAAACACGATCAGATAAAGCTGCAAAGACCATTGATGAGTTTCATACTTTTTACTTACTTTGAAAGACACAAGTGAGTGTCCACCCTAGCTACAGGACTTGAGTCCTCACCAGACCAGATCATTTGCTAATGCTGCTCTCAGGTTTTGGTCCAACCTTCTCTTCTTTAATGTGTTGGATAAACAAACATGGAGAAACTCCACCATGGTGCCCAAAATTGATTACTTGGGTCAGAAGACATGATAACAAAACAGTAAAGACCATTTGTTGATTCTCAGAATCAGTGGCGGCACCAGGGTGGGGGTGGGGGGTGGGGTGGGGTTGGGGGCGCTCGGGGGCGCTATAGCTACCCCTGGATTAGTCATTGCACCCCCAAGTAGATATCAGATTTTTTTTTATAACTTAATTTTAATCTAACGTGTGGATGTGATCATATTTAACATACAAAACAAAAATAATCAGTAAATTATCATATAGATAGTAAAAACTTAAACCAAAACAGGAAATTGATGTTAACCTTTGACCTTATTTTCCACTTGTGAACGAGTGAAAGGTAGAGCTAGTGGAGAAATGGATCGGTTTTTGTTGGCCACATTTCCACGGGTTCAGTCAGAAACAAATGAATCTTTGGAAGTGATCTCAGACCCACAAAAACCTACGGATCTGGATGAAGAGAGTCAACCCTCAGCCGCCGCAGCAGTCCTGGGTTTTGCCGCTGGAAATGCTAACGCTAACGTTAGCTAGCCTTGCAACACTATAGATGGTTTTCTGTGTGGCTGTATGTGTTTATGATTTCATGGAAAAGTCAGCGATTGTTCATATGTTTATGATGTGTATTAATGATTGTTTCAGGTGTTGTTGAGGTGTTGTGCACGCATGTGTATCTGCTAGTGTTGAAGGTGTTTTAGAGAACTATAGGTACGCATGACCACTTCCTTCATAGCACCCTCAATAAAAAGACCAGCTCCTTCACAGCACTTGCAGAAAAACATTTCTGGAGCCGCCACTGCTCAGAATACGTCTTTTCTTTGCTTTGGATAAAACATTACAGGTGCTGAGGGAGTGCATCCTCCACCGCAACCATTTATGCATTCTACTTTATCAGAAGCAATCTTCAAACAAATTTGATTTAAACAGACAGAAAATAATCATGCAGTTGTTATAATCCTTAAAGTTCAATCTCAAAACACTTCCTTAAATATGTGCATTGAGAGTTGATAAAAATCAGGTGTAATAATCTGTGTGCCATTTAGGAGCAAAGGCAGAACACTGGTGAGGGGCTTGACTTCCCCTCCACACTACCCCCCCTGAGGAGAGCCAAGTCTTTGGACCGAAGGACCACCGAGTCGGTCATGACGGTAAGTTCACTGCCAAAGAATTGCTGATGTTAGTGGGAGTGTTCCATGATAAGTCAGTTCCACCGAAAGGAAGTGAAAGGGATCACATTAATTACTTTTGCCAGATTGGTATTTTTGGGAACAACAAAATGACAGTTAATAGTCAAGGTTTGACTCCCAAAACATCGGTTAGTTTCAAACCGTACGTTTGCAGCTGGTAAGTATTAAATCACTCAAAGAAGTATTAACATCTGTCACAGCTAGGGGTGCAAGCATTAGACATTCCAGTGGTATGAATATAACTGCATTACTTGGTTCATTATTTAACACAGAAAGAGTTCTTTTACCTTCTTTTCTGCTGACGTTTTGACTAATCCTGCAGTCTAATCCTGCAGTCACCGCTATAGAAGGCGGGGTGACGTTGGTCATACCGACCCGGTTTCAGTAAATAATTTGGGCGACAGTAAAGTCCTTTCTGCTGTAACAGCTCTGTGACACAAATTAAATGCTGTTTGTTTATGTTCATAATGATGAACACAGGCTTCAAAACTCTGGACATCTCCTGTGATTTAGTTTCAACAAATTTCCTCCCACAGTTACAGCTGATTGTTCCAATTTAGTAATAAAACACAGTTTTTAAATGACTCTTTCTCACTCGCTCGCTCTCTCTCTCTCCCTCCCCGTTCCGTGTTGCACAACCGTCAGACTCGTGCATCAGCTGATCCAAAAGCAGATAAAGAGAATAAGCCTCCAACCTTATTGCAATATTGTCACCAAAAAAATGCAGCAAAACCTAATTTTAACAAGTTATTGAAGCAAAACTTAACTTTCATAAGCCACAAAAAAATAAATAAAAGATTCAATAAAGCAGGAAGAAATGTTATTTTTGTTTTTACAGTTTTCACTTCAGTTCAAACTACTTAGAATTTAGTGTGTTCATCACATTTAGCTTGCATTTTATTTAAAGTGCCATCACCTTTATTGATTTTACGGGAAAATGTGTGTGTTTGAAAAAATAATCGTAACATAATTACTTGAAAGGTTTTGTATTTAATGCAACATTAAATGTACTTTAAGTGTGATTCCATAGTTTTTGGAAGTTTTTGTTAATTTATGACAGAATAGCTGAACACTATGAAAAACTGACATTGCTGCTTAAGGTTGGTTTATGCTTGACGGGTCCGCGAGGTTCGCACGTCTCCACGTGGAAAGTTTGCGCCATTTTAACAACCACGCCCCTCCACCGCGCCTCCGCACGGCCCAAACTTTCCACACCGCGCACCTAGGAAATTTTCTAACCATGCGGACGGTCGAACACAGGAAAACATGGCGGACTGGCAAGAACTAGTATGGCAGAGGTTGGTAAATACAGACATTTGTATGATTCAGCTCTCAGAGATCACCGTGATCAACATGTTGTTAATAATTCTTGGAGAGAAATAGCTCGCACTGTCGGAAAAGACGAGGACGCTGTTAAAATTGCTGGAATGCTATGTTGTAAACAGTGATTTCTACTTCTACTATGGTGTAGTGTTGGATGCATGCCACAGAGCTCCATGCTGCCCCCTACAGTTTGGGAGAATATTGGCTCACCGCTGAGACGAGCCGCATGAACCATAAACGCTGCAAGTTGTGAAGCGCGTTCCATCCGCGAGCCGCATCACCAAGCGGAAAGTGAATGCGTCAAGCATAAACCAAGCTTTAGGCTCTGGGCAGGGCACGGGGTCAGGGAGTAAACAATGTCAAACCATTCACATGGTCATTTTGTATTTCATTATCTGAAAGCATCTGATTAGTTAAAACAACAAAACAGTTTTGATTTAATTTGATTTTACGTTTTTTATAATATTGATGCATACAGAGAAAACAACTAGTGAATACAATGCGTGTTATTCAAAGATTCAAAGATTCAAAGTCATTTATTGTCATGTTCTCCACATGTGCAGGACATACAGAGAAATGAAATTCAGTTTCAGCACACACAATTCAAAGATCAGACATACGTGGGTAAGACGTAACAAGAATTGGTGACTGCGGTCATTCGCAACATGAGTCGCGCTACCTTAATAGTTAGATGAAAAGGGTGTTACATGAGTGAAGTTCAGGGAGGGAGAAAAAAAAGGCATTAACAGGGTTACACCAGCAGGGTGTAGCACTCCAATGCAAAAAAACACCCGACATGGAAGCACAGACAGCACGTATACAACATCAGAGTCCGATGGGGAGGTGGGGGTGGGTGGGATCCTGAAGCCTCCAATGGGAGCTGCCACTGCGGTGCATCGACCAGCTGCAGACCAACAGGTGGGAGGGAGGTCATGAGGAAGCATAGAGAGCAGTGAGTCCTTCAGCTTGATGACCTTGGTGGAGACCACAATCTGAAGGCGGGGGGTGGGGGGGGGGGGGGGGGGGGGGGTGGATAGAGATTCACAGCATTTGTCTGCATTCCTTCCAGTGTGGGTTTTTTTTTTGCATGCAACTCCAAGGCTGCTTGTGGCGTCAGATTTGATAACAGAAACTTTGTTTGGGTCAGACAGAGATAATTTTTCCTCTCTGCCTTAAGTCTGTATTGATCATTCAAGTCCTCCAGTGAAGCCAATTCAGTGATTAAACATCTCCACACCGTCCGGTGACCCTTTCCGAGATGTTATCAATCCTGCGCGCTAACACCGGTAACGCAGCTAAGACATTGTCCAGCTTGCGATTCACCTCGAGCAACGTCCCAGTCTGTGAGGTATCCACACGGACGGTGCCGTCCATGGATGCGGGTCGCCCTCCAATCGCTCCCGTCATCCCAATTTTGCGGAAAGCCAGATATCCTCCCACTCCAATCAGAAGAAATCCAACGATCATCAGGCCAAATATCCACAAATCTTCGACGTCCTCAATGGACAGCTGAGAGAGACAGATGATATTCCACTTCTTCCAGGAATCAAACATATATCCCACTTATTATAGTCAGCGTAGCATTTTGGAAAAGTATCAGTGTGAATAAAACATATGGCCATAGCTCTTCTGTACCTTTATTGTGTAAAAGGAGATCTGGATAAAGGCCCTGCTGCAGGCCTTTATCCACAACAAATGCACCACAAATTGTGAACATGGCTACAAAATAGAAAACAACCATTTTAACACTAGACACATGCCCATTCCAATTCCTATGATGACGTGGCAGGTTTTTGATGATGAAGAGTAGCATTTCTGCTCTGTCAACCTTGAGTCTGTTCTTCCTATCTAGGACATGACCTGCAGCACGGAAGTCTCTCACTGTCGGTGCTTGTGCGGCCAACTTGGGGTGTGCGTGTCGCACTTCCACATTTCTATAAAATAATTTTTGTTCACCAATTCAGAATTTTCTGCAGTACTTAAAATCCGAAACGCTTCATTTTTGGATTCCGAGTACACCGCCATGTTGGATTTCTGTTTACTAAATGAGTGCACCGCTTTGGTCCAAAACGATAACGTGAGAGCCGCTTCCCTACTTTCTCCTTACATTCAAAACAAACTATTCCCGAATTAAGACAACGACCGTATTAAAACCGCGTCACTAAAAGGGGAAAAACTGAAATCACAATGAATGTACTATTTTTATCAAGTAAAGAGCAGGTAGCCACAGGATGACGGAGCGAGTGTAGAGATGACCTCTTGACCTTTAAAGCCCCTACACGAGATGAAAGGAAAACAGAGTTCACCTATTGTGGATGTCTTGTTCCGTGATTTTGGTGTTTTGGCCAAAAATGCACTTTTGGGTCCTTTTCAAACAAAGATTTTTGGTGGCTGAATTTTTGATGCATCTATAATGAAAGCAACACTGTAGGTTGTGTTAATTGTGGTGAAGGTTCTCAGTCGTCCAGGTCATGGTAATCCAAAGGGTTCAAACGAAGGCAGCTGGACCTGTTTGGTTTCTTGAAGACGTTTCGCTTCTCATCTGAGGAGCTTTGTCAATTCTGACTGGAATATGGGAGAGTCGAGTTTATAATTAGCAGTTTAAAGCCTAAATAGCTCTTTGTGTGGAATGTTCTGCTTAAAGCAGAACCACACCACTCCAGCAAGGCCCAGAGGTGACCAATAATAAATCAGATGGTTCTGATAAGTTCTGGACCTGGACTAGAAGATTGGTGTGATGGTATCCCAGACAAAGCTTCTGCTGTTCTGTTAATCTGCAGGATCAGCAGCTATGTCCAAACCCCAGGTTGCTCTGGGTGGTTGTTTGTGCTGAGAGACCTGATCTAGTTAGGCAACCGTTCCCTGTGTGGACTACGGTGAGCTTTTTGGGCCTTTTTGAGTGGAGAAATGGGTTCATAGGGACATCGTTAAAATTTTTGAAAAAAATATCAAACTAGTAATGTGGGTAATGCTTCCTTTTACAATCCCCTAATTACTAAGTACTTATGTGGTAATTATATATTAAGTTAAAATGTATTGTGTCATTAAAGTGTATTATTGTAATAAAGTGTAATTATTGTATAAATCAGTATTTACTGGGAATGATTAAAGAAATAAAAACTAGAATTGAACTTGAGATACAGTACGTGGTAATAACTGTTTAAGAACTCAGAAACAATAATACACTTTAACTTACTATGTAATTACCATGCAAGTACTTGGAGAAGTACTTGGACTTGGAGAGGGCACCAGGCCCCTTGATACAGGCTGTTAGGTCACTGTACAACCGGTGACTGAGCTTGATCCACATGGTTTCCGGTGAAGGTTGGCCAAAGCTTCCTTTGTCACAGATTCTGGTCATAACTTCTATTGACAGGATTTCTAGGTGCATCCAAGGTGTTAAAGGGATCCATTATGGGTTTTTTCTCATCAGTCTGGCTTATTATTAGTTTAGCTTAAAATGTTTCAGTGTTTTGTAGTTTTTCGTCATTTTGACTTGATTATTGACAGACCTACGTTGAAAATAATATTTTGTCTTTTAAATCATTCATCTTAAAACTGGGAATCAAGAAAAAAATCTTCCTCAGTTTTTGATTATTATGTACCAACAGCTACTGTAGTGAATTTCCTGTCATATTATGATGTTTGATATAATGTGTAACACACCAAAGTCTCCTCGTTCATGTGTGTTTGAGTCATGCAAACCCTTTTAATATGAATTAAGACCTTTATGATTTGTTCCCTCCTATTTCTGATGTTCCATCGACCCCTGGCATTAGTGTGGTGATGAGGGGGTGTAGTTGTTGTTGGACAAACCTCCACCCTGCAGGGGGCGGTGCAGCCCTCTCTGTTTCCTCTCCTTGCCAGGTTATACTCACCTTCTGTTCCCTGTGTGCAGATGCTTCCCATTGCATGAGAATAGTGCAAACCTATTTTTCAGTTTTGTACGGTGTGTGTGTGTGTGTGTGTGTGTGTGTGTAGGGGGGGGGGGGGGTGGGGGGGGGTCCTCACAGTGTGGACTCACAGCAAGCCACTGCATTATCGAGCCGTTTGACTTCATGAAAGATTTTTTCCACCCTAGCCGTTCCAGTGCTGGAGCAGAGTTGCTGCTAGAGTCTCTTTTTACGGGTTTCACGCCCCACCTTATTGTATTACCTAAAATCTCACATTGACGGTTTAATCTTCCCTTTCATGTATTCTGAATGTACACAGATCAGTTTTCCTTGTTCTTGCAAACAAATGTCGTCATATCACAGATTTAGTTTGGTTTAGTTAAGTTGATCGTAGTTTAGAAGTCTTGTTTAAAACAGCAGTCGTTTCCTCTGATCGCTCTTTATCGATCTGCTATTGATGTTTGTTAACCACGCTTGTGAACAAGACCCAACACTAATCTTGCAGGAGCGGGCGGCTTTTAAGTTGCAACAGGCAAAGAGAAAATTGCAGGGGCCTCATTTATCAAGCTAGCTTACGCTCTAAACGGGGTCGGAAAACTGCGTAAACAACTTTCCACGCAAACTTTGGGATTTATGAAAGAAAACTTAGCGGAAAAATGTGCGCAACTTTAAGTTAACTAAGGACCTGGCTTACAAACATGTTGGACATGGAGAGCACCTGCAGTGCTGCTGCTGAGAAGATACAATTATGAAATCCTTAATTGTGATTAAAACTGTAAAGGAAGAGAGAGAGTGAACAGGAAAGAGGGAAATCAGTGGATCCTGAGGAAGGTGGAATAGGTGGGGAGAGCAGCACAAGGTGAGGGTGGTGAAGGTCACCAAAACCAGCTTGAACAAGTGAGTCTTTAGCTGCTTTTTGAAGGAGTTCACTGATCTCAGGCTCAGGGGGAGAGAGGTCCAGAGTCTGGGGGCCACAGCAGCAGATGATCTGTCACCTTTGGTCTTCAGCCTGGTGCTGCACAACCAGTAAGCTTTGATCACTGGACCTCAGGGACCTGCTGGGGGTGAAGGGACTAAGAAGATCACCAATGTAAGATGATCTTGTCCATGTAAGGCCCTATAGACCAGAACCAGGATCTTGAAATGAACCGTGACTTTGACTGGCAGCCAGTGAAGCTGGAGGAGAAGCAGGGTGATGTGGGTGTGTATGGAGGACTTGGTCAGAAAAAGATAATAAAAGGTGCTGCATCACAGATAACCTAATGGGAGAGGGGGACAGAACTAGACTAGTGGTTGCTCAGCCGCCTACCTCAAAACCCCAAAAAGTTTGTTTCCTCTTGCTCAGTTAAGACTTAGTTCCACTGTAGCACCTGCTTATGTTTATGAAGCCCAGCAACAAAAGCAGGCTGGTATCCGGACTTTAAAAAAAAAAATTATCAGCTCCAGTGTAAAGAGAAACGCTGTTTATCACATAATGTTATGAATCCAGAGGGGTGACGTCTGTCACAGTCAGCAACTTGTTTACATCTGTAAACAGAAACAGAGGGAACGTAAGCTAACATTCATAAGCTAGTTAACGCGTAATATTTGTAAATACTGCTCTCTCTAAGCCCCATCGAGGTGTGCTAAATCATCCCACAGCTGAACTGGGCTTGGACCAGTAAAAACCAGGCTAAACTGGCAAAATAACCAACCTCAGTCGTCTCTTCTCCTCTACTCACATCATTCACTGTTGCCCCACTATGTGTGCTACTTCTGCCATTTACTGAACTGGGCGTGAACTACTTGTAGCCATGCTAAACATAGCCAAAAACGACAGCAAATGATCTCAGGTACTGCTTTACCCTTCGGTCAATACTCACTTTGCTCACTGTTTACACACTTTCACAAGCCAAAACCCATACAGTCGGTGGCGTAGGTGCAAAAGGTCAATAAGCTAGCACTGGCTCTAAGCTAGCACTGGAACAGCAAAGCAACACAGCTGGCAGAAGCTGACCCTTATCAGTGGAGCATTTTACCCTTAAATGTGTAAGAGCCACTGGCAGGAGCCAACTTCCACCGTTCACTTGACTATTTTTGTGTCGCTTATAGAGCAATGTCTGTGGAAAAGTGAAGTTTTGTTTTTCTTCTCTGTCTAGAGTTGTGCTTACTAGACTATCCTATAAAGTTGTATTCTTTGTGTTTCCTGTTTTTGTCCTTTTAGCCTGATTTGCTGAACTTCAAGAAAGGATGGATGGTGAAGCTGGACGAGCAAGGCCAGGTACATGGCGTGGTCACTCTTATCAGCTGACTAAAAGGACAGTGGAAATTCCTGCAGAAGTAAAGTGTTATAAGGTTCGGGGTTTCCCCCAGAACACTTGCTAGGCCTGGTGGACCATGAGAGCGTGAGACCGCTGCCGTCTTGGGAAGGGTGACTGCCGTGCGGTGGGGGGTGGACGCTACAAGGCCTGGTGGCCTGCCAGACTTATAAAGCACTGGGGGAAACCTTGAGGTTGTTTTAATAGTTTGTAGATCTTACGTAGACCTAAGGCACTGTGCTGAGGTGTCACTTTGAAGTTCTGTTTTCAATGGTCATGGTTGAAGCTGGGCAGTTTTAGAATTAATTATATAATATATGAGAACAGCCTCAGATTAGAGCAGATTTCATTGACAGTGTCAGTGCTTCAGTTTTCCTATTTTTCTCCTTTATGCAACTTTGTTTTGAGTGGCTAAACTGTCTCTTGCAGTGGAAGAAGTACTGGTTTGTGTTGACAGATCACAGCCTGAGGTACTACAAGGATTCGATTGCAGAGGAGGTGAGCTGTCGCTTTTCCCTAGTTCTTCTTTCAGTTTGTTAATGTGATGTTGCTCAGTTTATCGCAGTATTTTTCTTTGCTCAGGCATCTGATTTGGATGGTGAGATCGACCTGACTACCTGTTACAATGTGACAGAATACCAGGCACAGCGCAACTACGGCTTTCAAATTCATGTGAGACGTTCTGCTTGTTTTTGTTTGACACACCTTTCATCAAAATTCATCGTTTTCAATCCAAAACTGGCTTTCTACATGAATTGTGTAGATCTGATGAAAAACTGTTTTAAAGGGTCAAGAGCGAAACCTTTTTAGTTACAAATGCACCTTTATATCTCCAAGGTTGACCTTTCAGGTCTCACCGGTGCATCTTAAGATGAAAAAAAGTATTGGATGCTCAAAATCTCCCTGTGGTTCGACAACAGACACGCATTAGTCCCGTATGGTTCTCTGAACCAATTGGAAGAGGCGAAGGGCGGGGCGGGGCCTCTTCTGGACCACAGCCAGGTCTGTCTGTTTACATTTACGAGTGAATCTCAGCCAAACAGTGGTGCCCCCAAGGGTTGGCCAGAGTGGCCATGGACACCTCCTGGATTATTGCTGGCCCTCCCCAGGGACAAGAATGAGATGATACTAAAGATTAACTTTGCAAAAGGGTTAGGGTGTCCTTCTCTCTTGTTGCTGCTCATAAGCAGAAGAGCTTTCTCTTGTTCACCACTGTCCTGAAATGAGGGATTCTTCTTAGGAAACTCTTCCTTCTGCCTAAATGATCCTGAAAGAATCTACCGTATTTTCCGGACTATAATTTGCACTTTTTTTTCATAGTCTGGCTGGTCCTGCGACTTCTATACCAAAGTGGCTTATATACCAAATTATGTATACCGCGCTGCCGCGGGCCGGCTCCGGACCGGGAATCAAATCAAATCAAAGATGCTTTATTAATCCCAGAGGGAAATTAGAGTTCCAGTACACACAATTCAGAGATCAGACATACATGGGCAGGACACATGACAAGAATTGGTGACTGTGGTCATTCGCAACCCTGAGTCGCGCTACCTTAATAGAGATAAGAGGGTTACATGAGGATTGGTTCAGGTGGAGGGAAAAAAGGCACTTCAAAGAAACACTTCAAACAGATATGCAACAGACTTCAGACAACACAACATAAGTGTCCACTAGGTGGGGTGGTGGGTTGTGACTATCCCCACTTCAGTTCCTGCAGCCACGATAGAAGCAGCGCATGTCACCTCAGTGTGGATAGGAGGAGGAGCATTAAGGGTTGGAGGGTTGCAGTGACCCTGGAACGTTTCAGCGACCTTCCCGCAGTCCCGCCCAGGCTGGGAAAGGATACAGAGTTGAGTTGCCATAGCGACGGCACATTCCACATATCTTCTGAGGGGGGAGTTTTCGTTGGAGCCTTGCAGGCTCCAGGATACCAGATTCCAATTAGAAATTGTTTTGGGGCCAGACAGAAATTATTTCCTTTCTGTCTTACAGTTTGTTGGTCCTCAACCTCTCAAAATCCCAATAATAGACATTAATCTATCCCAATCCGTGCTGATTCGTCCACTCTATCCTTGATGGCATCCATCTTTTGTGCCAAAGAATGAATCTCCGCCAAAGTCCCAAGCTTACGATTCATCTCGACAATTATGTGAGTCTGTGATTTCACAGCGTGGTGCAAACCATCTCTGAGCTCCGGGATCAGGCCAATATTCCTCGACAGCTTGTTAATTTTCTGGTAAGCCAGGTAGCCTCCAATGCCAATGAGCAGGAAACCTGACGCCAACACCACGAATATCCACACGTCTTCACAGTCCTCCACAGACAGCTGAGATAAACAAATCAAGTTCCACTGTTTCCAGGACTCCATGATGTGTCCAACTGGGTCTGTACCGGAGGGGCATCCGGGAGCCCCTTCTCCCGTTCTCATCGTTGAAAAAATTTGATCAATCGCGTTGAGACCAACTGACGAGATCCATTTTAGTGAATTTCAGTTTCCAGAAAAATGCAGAAGCAGCCATGCACCCAGCACATTTATTATGTTCCAGTCGTTAGTCATTTATGTTTCAGCATTGTAGTAATTTATAGTAAATTAAGTAAGTTTAATTATGAGGGGAAACCATTTTTCTTGCATTCTTTAATGAAAACAGGTAACAGAACAGTTATTTTTCTTGGTAATTAGTTACTTTTATAATCTTGTAACTCGGTAAGTAAATGAGTTACTTTTTGACAATGTAATAATAATAATAATGCATTGAACTTATATAGCGCTTTTCTAGACACCCAAAGACGCTTTCCCACACTCACATTCACACACTGCTAGTGATGGTAAGCTACTTGTAGCCACAGCCGCCCTGGGGAGGTCTGCCATTTGGCGCCGTCGACCCCTCTGACCACCACTAACACAGGCAACTGTAACAGTAACTGTAACTAATTACTTTTTTAAAGTAACGTTCCCAACACTGGTGCTGACTGATGGTAGAAGAACCCGTGGTGTTGATAACTCGGTGAGTTTGGGAACAGACGGCAGACATCAGCCGATGGCAGAGTTGAGCCATCTGCGGCTGTTCATATAGGTTACGGTTAGACACCAAACAGAAAGTCAGTGTGAGAAGGAGGTGATTTTGTTTTTTTTGGTGACCTGGGAAGCAGAAATGCACAGAGACCCCACAGAGCCAGAGAGGTCATAGCAGAAAATATTATTATATTGTATTTTTTGATTATTTAGAGCCAAAATTAAACACTAATGCAAAAAATATTTTCTTCTTGTTCTTCTTCTGTGTCTCCATAGACCCAGGAAGGAGTTCACACTCTGTCGGCCATGACGGCTGGCATACGCAGGAACTGGATCCAGGCTGTCATGAAGAACGTCAGACCTTCTAACGCCCCTGACGTGGCCAGGTCAGCACACGTTTCTCTGTCCGGTACTAAAGTCGCTCTGGCATCAAGTGTTCTGTGTGTGCAGGTGAGACTTCTGTTCAGTGCACCAAGTCCTTTACTCTCTGTTTTGCTGCTTTTCAGCTCAACCGAGGATTACGGCTCCTTTTCTCCTTTGGAGGGTCTCTGTAGACCAGATGTCACACAGGACTCCCCGGCCTCTGAGGCTTCTTCTATTGAGAGGGAATCTGCTCCAGCTCTCATAAAGAGCAGAGCTCGAGAACGGCGACGAGAAGGTCGCTCGAAGACATTCGACTGGGCTGAGTTCAGGCCGATAGCTCAGGCTCTGGCTCAGCAACGAGCTCAGGAGGCCGAGAGCCTGCAGACAGACGGTGGTGAGCTGGAGCGCGGCCGAAGGAGAGAAGAGAGGAGGAAGAGGTATGAGTGTGTGGCAAGCTCGGATCAGGCACACATCACTGAAGGAGGCAGGACAGACCCTGAGAGTGGGGATGGAGTCGTACAGACAGACTCGGCGGGTCTCGTTTCTATGGAGAGGCAGCAGAAGGTGGAGGAGGCGATAGAACAGCACTGGCGACAGGTGGAGAAGACGCCCATCCGAGAGGAGAGGCGGGTTCCTCTGCCCGGCACGGGTTCGTCCAATGAGACCACAGAGCTGGAGCTGCTTCTGGAGGGTTACAAACTAGGGGTATGCTAACTTGTTTACTGGCTTGTTGTTAGGTTTAAAATCTCTCTGAGAACCTTTTTCTGCTCCGGTGTCCTGAGTTCAGCTCAAGGTCCATTTCTGTGTGAGGTGGGTGTCTTTTGAACACACACTGTTTATACATGACCGTTGATCTAAATCCGTCTCTGGGGACCTAAACTTCTCTTAATGCTGATTCTCATGCTCATCAGGCACCTACCTGTCAATTAAAAGGACACACCCCTAATCATTCATAATTTAAAGCTTTAAAAGTGTGGTTCACTGAAAAACCATTGTTCAGTTATTATTTCTGATTATAGTCGGTCATTCTGAGTTTAACTCATTCGCTGCCAGCGTTTCTCACCGTTTTTACTGTTTTTTATGAGTCCCAGAACGTTGCGTGCTAGGATGATGTCGATGCCAAAACAAAGAGGAGACTCACCTCTTACATCAGGAAGAATCCGTGCGTTTCGAGCGTTATCCATTATGTAGCGTGGTTAACTACATACTAGAATTAACGCTGTTTGCTATCAGCTTTGTTAGATTCTGAAGAGATCAAAAGAGTTAGCAAATGAAGCTTCGATCATATATAAGTATCTAGGATATTAATATGTTCGATAGAAGTTCATACGCCAACGAGCTTGGTCTATATTTAATCCAAAGATAAATTTTTTATTTTAAGGTAATTAAATTTTAGCAAAAGTTTATTTATTGAATCAGAAGTTAAAGGAATCTTTGCTTTTTCAATAACCAAAATATACACCATTCTTTGTTTCATTTCAAAGAAGAGTCGGGTTTTAGAAAGTTAAGAATTTATTACTAACACTTTTTAAAATGACAATTTGAAACAGCTTGATATTAAAACTTGTTATTAAAAGCTTTACCTGTGTTTGAATGAAAAGCTAAAGTGAAATGCGAGGTTTGGATGTGTGAATGATATATCAGAAGGTTTCTTTCAGAGAGAGAAGCGCGTTCTGGGTGGAAAGTTGTTTTGCAGCTAACTCAGTTGTTTCTTAGAGAGACCAGCATCGGACACAATCTGTGTTCTACCTCACCCAGTTAGACGGCCCTCTGTGTGCATCCAGAGGTCAAAGGGATGATGTTGTCAGCCTCAGGGTACTCGGTCAGGTAGAGAAGACCCGAGCGAAACCGACTCTCTGGTCCAAAGTTGTCGCAGGGTACACAGTGTTGAGCTTGCATCTGGCTTAACTCTGAAGGAGTTTTTGCGTCAGCTGGTAACAGGTACGTTTATTCGGAGCAATTCTATCGGCGTGACAGAATGCTTAGTGAGGCTGGGGCGGCCGACCCTCGTCCTCTGGTGGGTTCAAGAACTGAACTTCAGCTGCAGAGATTTGGTTTTAACAAAATCTCAGAACACGCCCTCTCAGCGTCAGAAAGCTCGGTGTTATGGAGTAAAGGCATGTGAGGTGGTTTAACTTTACCCTGGATCAGCCCTCTGCATGAGGTGTACACGTGCCCATGACCTTCTGGTTGATGATCACACATTACTGATTATCATGAATAATAATTATTATCAACCCAAAAAATAATAAGTAATTTCAGTAATTAAATACATTTATACTGAACCAAGATGATTATTTATGATGATTGTAATAAACAGTAAAACAATTTACTAAATTATTATTTTAAAATTTTTATTTTAAAATAATCTAACACATGGATTATCTGCTTCCTGATCACGTGATGTGTAACGAATGCGGATGAAGATCAGCTTCAGAGCTGAGGTGTTTGTTCTCACGGTGCGGGGGCTCGTCCGACGCCCACACAGTAAAAACATGCAAATGATGACTTTAGTCGTCATTGGCAGTGAATGAGTTAACATGCAGGCTGAACATGAAAATAGAATCAGAAGGGTTTGTTGCCATATGTGGAGAAATCACAACATTAGGAAATTGCTGCGGTACTTGGTGCAACAGGAAGATAAAAATAAGAGATAAGTAAATACAAGGAGTAAGAATATAATCATGATAAAATGATATAAAGTGGCGATACTTATGGAAACGGCTACTGTATAGAGCTCTGGGAGTTGACGTCACTTCTCCCGGCATTCAACAGTTCAAATCGAAACAGCGCCATATTGGCAGGCAGAAGCCCGCAGCTTGACTATTTGTTATTGTCAGAAAACTCAAACAGGAAATATGGTAGATTCCTGTTGTGCTCCAGGATGCAGAACAGACGCAGACGACATAAGGAATGAGCCATCTACAGGATTCCCCAAGATCCGTAGCGCCGCTAACGTTGGATCATTGTAATAAAACCGAGTGACCGGGCTAAAATGAAACTGTGGGATCCCGAGAGTAAAGATTTTCGCTTATGCAGCGACCACTTCATATCAGAACACGCCCTCTCAGCGTCAGAAAGCTCGGTGTTATGGAGTAAAGGCATGTGGCAAGACCATGGCGGTAATGTGGTGCAATCATGTCCTTTTTATAAAAGAATAGTCGATGGCAACAAAACAGAGGGTATAGGGCAGTCTCTGTAATGCCACAGACTTCCGTTTATCTTTGACACATAACTTGCTATTTGTTGCGCTTGAAGCTGCGATCTTTAGGTTTTTTTTTTAAGAAGCCGCTCCTAAAGGTGTCTGTCCCCATCAGCCCCTGTGCAGTCTCTGGTGATCTGAGCTTCATCTCTAACAGAGAGGCTCATGGAGCTCTGCAGCGCTCCAGTCTGCCATCTCAGCTGATTTTGTTCAAAAAGCTAAATGTACGCCCTGTGTTTACTTTCATTTTTAACATATTTGCCGGCCGGAGCTCGGCAATAACTCCCCACATCATCATGACACCTCCTTCTGTTGCACCATGGTGCAATAGCCGATTATAAGACGGACCATTACAGCAGTATTACTACCAAGCATGGCGGAACAAATGCTGCCAAAATTCACACAACGCTATGGTGTGTTTATGAGACACGCTGTTGCAGTAATATTACACCAATTTGTCAGCACAGCGTGTCTTGTCAAAAGGGCTTGTGCCTCTCCTCTCTTCCTCCAGACTCTGGGACCTTGATTTCCAAAGGAAATACAAAATTTACTTTGATCAGAGAACATAACTGTGGACCGCTCAGCAGCAGCCTAGTCCTTTTGGTCTTTAGCCCAGGTGAGGAGCTTCTGGCGCTGTCTCCTGTTCAAGAGTGGCTTGACATAACGAATGCCACAGCTGAAACCAGGTCTTGCATACGTCTGTGTGTGGTGGTTCTTGAAGCACGGACTCCAGCTGCAGTCCACTTTTTGTGAATCTCCTCCACATTTCTGAATAGGTTTCATCTCACAATCCTCTCCAGGCTGTGGTTATCCCTACTGCTTGTTTGAACACTTTTTTTCTACCACATCTTGTCCTGCCCTTCACCTCTCTGTTGTGTTGGACACAGAGCTCTGCGAACAGCCAGCCTCTTTAGCAATGACCTTTTGTGTCTTGCCTACCTTGTACAAGGTGTCAAAGGTCGTCTTTTGGACAACTGTAAAGTCAGCAGCCTACCCCATGATTGTGTAGCCTACAGAACTAGACTGAGAGACCACTTAAAGGCTTCTGCAGGTGTTTTTGGTTAATCAGCTGATGAGTGTGGCACCAGGGGTCTTCTATATTGCATCTTTTCACCAAATTGTAATATTCTGAGATACTGGTTTTGGGGTTATCATTACTTCCTAGAAATAAATCAACTTTGTCCTGATATTGTAATTTTATGACCAGCACCTGTAGATGTGTAATTTCACACTCACGTTTTCTAGCCTAGGAGGTTAATTGTAGCTGAAGTTTGCCGCTCAGCTTGCAGATGAATCCAAACTGGCCATCTGGGTGGCACTGAATGCCGTCTCATTTATTGCTTGTTTAAAATATGACAAAGTCGGCATACTTCCTGGTTCGGTTAGGTGTCATGTGTGTTTTTGTAAAACACAAGCTGTATGGCATTCTGCTAACCCTAAATGAAATGATGCTCTGCTCCTACAGATAGAGGACCTGAAGGCTCAGCTGTCCAGCTGCCACCAGGAGCTGCTCGACTCCAACAAACACAAACAGGAGGTGGAGCTCCAGCTGAGGATGGCTCTGGAGCGAGAGCAGGACGTCCGAACCGGCTACATCTCTCCGGTGAGTCACGTCTCCAAAACAAGCTGCAACATTAACTTACATTTGCTGTGGGTTTAGAGAGTCATCCTGAGTTTGTTGGTCATTTCCACCTGAGTTTGTAACATTCTCTGCATGTTAACCATGAAACAAACTGACTTTAGAACTACAGTCTCCAGGTATGTGCCTTTGCATGAGTTCATTGCATGTCAGAAATGGTGAAATCTGTTACTACTTTGGCTTCTACTAGTTATAATCTCTTTGTGTCTGAACTCATGAGCTCTGACAGAACCACAGTGACTCGTACATGTCTAGTCATAGCTACTCGTGTGACCTGGTGAGGATCGAGGGCCACTTGACTTGGGTGCCGACATGTCTCCTGAGTTTAGGCAGCATCGGGTGTTTGACGAGGACGTGCAGAACCCGTGTTTAGGCAGGTGTAAATGTTTTTTAAGCTTTCATGGATGTTCATGAATGTGCAATCCAGATTCAACATTGATAAATCCTCAAAGATGTGTACACATGATCATTTTGCTTGCCCCATTAACAGGGCGGTGTGTCAGTGTTTGCAGGATTTCCGAGCTTCTGCAAGACTATTCCGTACAACAAGTTCAGGATAAGTTAGCTGGTTTTCCAATTTAGCAGGAGAAAACCAAAAACAACTCTGTGCAAAGCAGAATAAAAGAGTCAAATGAAAACGTTTTCGATGGGTGTTTCTGTTATTGGGTCCAAATGAAAAACGGCTAGCTGAACATCTTCTGTTTGGAAAATTTGTTTCGATCCAGCTGGACTGACAAGCAAACGGTTGGTCTGAAACACTCAGCAGAAAATGTAACATTTGAATTGTTTGTTCCCCACTGATATCACGTAACATTGTTAGCGCTCCGTTTATTCACGAGGATAAATCAGTAGCATTAGCTGTTCAGTATGATGCTAGTGAACCCTGTGTTGTCTCTAAACACCGGGTTCATGCATACGCTTTTATTTAAACCTTTGTTCATGTCACCAACCCAACACGGTTATGTTGTGTGAAGCTCCTGCAGGGCTGGCCCTCTGGTTGCACCAGAAGTTTCTCATTTAGCTGCTCGTGTTGATAGTTATGCTGTACAAAAACACAAAACTACAAATATAACAAAGTAAAAGTGAGACTATCTCTGAGACTCTAGACATTTGGATTCATTGTTGGTCTCCTTAAACCCACCTCCACCTCCTGATGACAACTCTTCTTTGTCATGTGAACATGTGTCACGTGATGTAAAACCAAAAATACGTGCGTGTTAAAGGTTGATTATGGAGCGCGATCACCGAAGCGACATCTAGTGCAGTGGTTCCCTGCTGCCACACACCGGACTTAAGTGAATGAGTGATTAACAGGCACCTGCCGCACTTGAAGTCCTCCCGAGGAGGCGATGTATATCAGTTGTGCTGAAGCTGACATGGAAGACACGCAGGACAGTGGTCCCTAAGGACCAGGGCTGGGACACACTGATCTAGTGTGTGGATGTTGCAACAACAGAACGTTTCCAGTCATCGGGATACCAGGTTCGCTGCCGATGCGTGAAATGTTTTATTTGGGTCCGTCTGTTGTAGGCTTCACCTAAACTCACTCTGATTTTAGATCTTTTATGGTCGCTCATCTTCTGAGAAGAATAACGACACCTTCTGGGCTCAGAAGCAGCTGCTCAACCCTCCGAGTCCGCCATTTTCCACAGGACCAGCCTCACTCTGCCGAGTGGACAGTTAGACAACCCGCAACAGTGCCCTCTACTGGCTGGTAGATGTAAACATAAACCCAGTGTTGTGTCTGTCAAGCTAAACATTTGATTACTGTATTTTCCGGACTATAAGTCGCACTTTTTTCATAGTCTGGCTGGTCCTGCGACTTATATACCAAATTATGTAGGCTATACCGCGCTGCTGCGGGCCGGCTCTGGAGCAGGTTTCAGCTCCCCTGCCCCGCCATCACCTGCTGCAGCCTATGGCGGGGTGCTGCGGGCGCTCGTCCCACCCGCTGGGAGGGTTTACAACACCGCCATCCTCTGCTGGAGACCGTGGCGCGCTGCTGCGCCCGCGTTGTTTATTCTGTTATTGTTACCGGTTCTTGTCTTACAATGTGAAACGCTTGGTCTCAGATTTTGTAAGAAACATAATTAAATTTCCCCCCCAAAATGCGACTTATAGTGCAGTATGACTTATATATGTTTTTTTCTTCTTCTTTGTACATTTAATGGCTGGTGCGACTTATACTCCGGAGAATACGGTATTTTTAAAATAAAGTATAGCTTTTAAGGAAGATCCTGTACCTTCATTCTGCACACTTCTAAACGCCCCATGGAGGGATTAATTTTTTTAATATAGCTCTTAATGAAACGGTTCCATATTCAACCTTTAACTGCTAGTAAGAGTAATTATTAACAAAAAGAAAAGTAAAAGCCAAATAAAAAATCCAAGAGCTGGCTAAAATGTAAACAGGGTTACCAGAAGAATGAACTTGTTGTGGAGCTTAAGACTAAATCCTAAGTGTTATCTAGTTTTTGTTTTGTCGTTAAAACTTACAGAGGCTCTTTTTACTTGTTACACGCTGATGTTTAATGATGGAAACTTTCTGTAGAAGGCCTTTTGCTGTTGAAGTCACACCAGAGTAAAGCACTTTGTCATTAAATAGGATAAACGTAACCTCTTCATTTTCTGCATGGACATCAGACTTGTGTTTTCTAATAATCTCTGTTTATTTCATCTATTTGTTATTCTAATAATTGTTATTTTCTTCTGGATGTGTCCGTCTCCAGGTGTGATGCTCGTGTTGATGTATGGATAGATTTACTACGGATGTTAGCGGAGACGTTTTTACTTTTCACCGAGCGGAACCTTAGAGAGCTGAACCAGTACCTTCATGTTTGGTGACAGTTGGATAACGTAATGGTCACATCAAAAACCTGATGTGATTCCCTCCTTCCAGCTGGAACCAATATTGCATTACTTACTACACGGAGTAACCATTAACACTTTAATGTGCACGCTGTCGGTGATGAACTAACCTGGACATTTCATTTCTCTCTGTTGCTTTTCTTTCCCAACCTGTTTTCAATTACCGTTTGATTTCTTGTTTTATTTTGATCTGTTATGTTAAAGATATATTAGTGTAATTATTAGATATAATGGCTGCAAAGTGATTGGTAGATGAATCTATGTGTCTCCCCTGCTGTGTGTTAACCAACTGTTTGGTCCCCTTTTCCAAGCTGGAGCATCCTTTGGGTCTGGAGGCAGATGTCACGCCCCAGATGAAGAGGACCGAACCAGTTAGTTCCCAAGCGCAGAGTTTAACAAAGAAGTACCAGGAGACCAAAGAGCTCCTTAAGCTGCAAGAGCAGAAAAAGCGCCATATGCAGGCACAGCTTGGCCTCTCACTTTCTCACCTTCCCATAAAGGAACCCAACTCCTCTGAACCCCAAAAGACCTCCAAGCTGGAAGGCCCTATCCCAGACCTTGTCCAAAAAAAGGTTAGCTTCTTGCTCCAAGATGACACAAAGGCCATCCAGGAACTAGAAGACCTTGTAATAGATGAGCCTCTCACTCTGAATGAACTTGGCAAAGTGCTGAAACTCCATGTCTTTAGTCAGAACACCACAGGAAAACATGAACTTAAGGAGCTTCTGGAGACTTGGAAGTCCCAGCAGGAAATGGAAAATGAAACCATGAGGATGAGTTTAGCCAGAGCAGGAGAGAGCATACGAGAATATGAAGCCCGTCTGCTGACCATGGAGGACAAAGTTCAGAAACAGAGTTTGGGGAGTCTGAAGAGCTCCCATGGTGCTTTGTCTAAAGGGGAAACACACTCATCTGGTCACATGACTGTTGGGTTGCTCTCTCAGAGGGTTGAGCTGTTAACGAGTGAGAACTGCGCCCTGAAGCAACGATGTCAAGAGATTGTGAACCAGCTCACAGAGGCCGACAGGGAAATAGACCGACTGAAAGTGGAACTAATCAGCCAGCAGGGCGGCAAGCAGCAACATCTGGTTGAGGAGGAGCTGAAGAGACTGAAGGCAGAGTTGGCTGAAAACCAGGCAAACGCCATTGACCGGGAGTACTACGAGAGAGAGCTGAATGAGAAGTCTCTGAGACTCCATGAAGCTTTGGTTACTTTGGAGGAACTCGGCAACACCCTTAAAGACTCTGAGAAGAAGCTTCAGCTGAAGGAGGCCACGCTAAGGGGTCTGGGCTTCCAGACACATCACGAGGACAAGGACTTGGAGCCAGAGAAGGAACACATCAGGGAGCTCCTGGAAGCCTCGAAAGCTGAAGTTTTTGAGACAAACGCAAGACTTGAGTCTATGCAGGAACGCTGTGAGGAACTAGAAGCTAGAAACCGTGAGCTAGACACTCTGAATCAGGAAACTGTAAATGTTAATGAGGAGAAGCTAGTCAAAGCTCAAAACGAAGTGAGGATACTAAGACAGAGGTTAGAAGTGAAGATGGGTAGGGACGATCAGAACGTTGGTGAAAGTAGAGAGGTGCAGGAAGATGATCAAAAGCTTTTTAGAAAAGTGATAGATGAGTTTGAGATGAGGTCTAAGGCAATAGAAAAGGTCGTGGAGATGTTATTAAAACTAGATGTCAACGTAGATGGGACACTTGGTCATTTACGAAGCACTTTACTTGGTTCTTCTAAAGAGGAACCAGTTTGCGTGAGAGGAAAGAAGATGAGCTCAGTGTTGGAGTGGGAGTTCTGGAGCCGGCTGTTGGGCCTGGCTGAAGTACAACCAGATGAAAGCAGACCTATTAGTGAAGCAGGCCTGGTAGAGGTCCTGAAGGCACAGAGGAGCCGGCTGCTGTTGCAGGAGGCAGCTTGTTCACGGGACGAAGCTGAGACTGAGACAGATTTTGCAGCAGTGGAGGGCTGTCTTGATGACAAAACCAACGTTATGGTATTTAAACAGTTAACAGAAACTTTGAAGGCAAAGTATCATCATTTGAAGCAGATCACTTCTACTCTGAAAATGAACAAAGACGACAAACTCATGTCTTTAGCTCAAGGAAGCCTTGGTCCTGGGCAAGAACAGAAGCAGCCTTTAGAATATCTCCTGGATTCCCTCAAGGAAGCATGCATGTTGTATGTGATCATTAGGTTGAAGGTTCAGCTCATCACTAAACAAAATCACACCCAAGATCAGGAGCTAAGTCAAAACTGTCTCAGCTGCTTTAAGTTGGAAGAGTCTGCTAGAGAGCTCCGGTCAAAACTAGAAGATCTGCAGGATCAACTTTCTGAGGCCTCTGCAAACGCTGCTGCAGGACCACAGTCGTTGATCCAGATCGGAGGAGAACCCCTAGAGTCTGTGAGTAAAACCATTGGGCTTCATGATATGGTAGCTAGGCACAGGAAGGAGCTGCAGGGTGTCGAAGACAGCTATAAGCAGGAAGTAGACAAGTTGAGGCAGGAAATAGCAAACGCCAATGAGAGCCTTCGTGTTTGTTCACAAGAGAACATGAAAGAGATAGACTCACTAACTAACTGCATGGAGAAACAGAAAAAGAAGCATGAGAGGGAAAAGACTGACCTAGTGGAGAGGTTTGATCAGGAAATGGAGGAGTTGAGGAGCATGATGAGTCTGGTGAATCCAGAGAGGAATGGAGTCGATAAACCATCGGACCATGTCTCAGTCCATCAGTCCACCCTGAGGGAACGCATCCAGGAGCTGGTCGGCCAAGTGTCGGACATGACAGAAGAGATGAGGCGACGCGAGGAACAGGGCGACACAAACACTCTGCGGCTGAAATACGAGAGGGATCTGGAGCACCTTAAGGTGGAAGCGCTCCTTGTCCTTGCTGTCATCCCATTTGTGATGCCGTGTTTCCTTTTGTGCAGTCCCCGATTTCCCTCTCCTCCCCCGACCTAACCCTCGTTCCTAACCCACTTCACCCTTATTATTTTACCTTCTGTTTCCTAAACCACGTTTTCCTTTGTGTTGCATGAAAACTAACCTTCTTCAGGATCTGTGACTTTGCTCTTGGTCATCATCACCACTCACAAACTGTTTTATTAACCAAAGAAAAGATTTAAACAGAAGCTTTTAGCCTTTGAAATGAACTCTACCGTTGTCTAAACATAACGGCCCGCTCTTATAATCTACACAGTTTTAAGAGTTAAAAAGCTTGCTACTTGCTAAAAGCTTAGCAGTTTAAAACGATGTTTCATTTTGCTTCATGCTGGTTTAAATATCTGTTCCTTTGGCTTTCCCCTACTAACAGTTTAACTTGGTGCCCTGGTGTCACTTGATGGAAATGAAATATATTTAACGTCTGACAAATAAAAGCCCACCCTACTTCCTTAATTGCATTTAGGAGTAGTCTTAGTCAGGTAGTCGCCAGCGCATATGTCATAATTATCAATCTGTTAATGCTATAAAGTAGGGAAACAAGTGGGTTGTAAAACAAACACGCCTTTAGAAAAACACTGGGTGTCGGGAAGTCAGTGTTTTTCCATTTGTCGTTTACTCAGAACAGGATAATTACAGTGCAGCATCATCCAGACATTTGAGCGTAGCTACTCATTCAAAGTGAATGGGCAGTTGAGTCCAAACGTTTGGCTGGTACTTTGGGTCTAAAAGGTCAATGTGGCATTATTACGGTTGTTATGGTTACACAGCTTATCCGTGCAAGATACCCTGAGCATCACAAACATTCTGAAATTGGGCAAAAATGCTTTTTCAGTTGAACATATTTCATGCAAATCAGTGTCATTGCGGCGTGCCACCTGAATGATGTCACTCCCTCCCCTCACTTGTAGAGTAGGGGTGTTTTAAAAGTCACAACCAGTAAAACACATAAGCAGTGGAATTACCCAAATAAAGTGTTCAACACTCTTAATACCTATTTTATTGACTTCCTGTTTAGACGCGTGTAGCAGGTCAGCATCCAGGTGTGTTACTTCCGTCTGCTTATCAGTGTAACGCCATGTTTCATTCAAGATTCAGGCCTCATTTACAAAGCTGCTGCTTACTCACAAAACAGGGTCTGAAAATTGCTCAAGTCTTTTCCTACATGAACTTTGTGATTTCTAAAGGAAACCTTGAGAAGAAAATGGGACAACTTTACCCTGGCGTCAGCACATTTAGGAGACACCGATGTTATTGAGTCTACCACACCGGTGGTGTTCTTTTGCACAATGCAGGCATTTTTTCAATGTCTGAACTTCAGGGTAAATTTTTGGAGGGGGAATTGTCTCCCGGTCCTCTCAGCTGTTGAGTCTCCATTTAAAATCAGCCCTCTCAGAACTTTGCACAGACGTCATCACGACTGCTTCAGCGAGGAGTAGTGTCAATGGTTAGCACCAAAAAGCATCCACAGTAATACTATTAACAATAAAAGCTTTATTCTTTCAAAGTATATCGTAGTTTAATCCATTCAGAGGACGAAAGCATCTGTGTGATGTAAAATGTGGTGTTTAATGACCAGAAGAAGCTCTTCTGCAGCCATTTCCTGGTTCAGTCTGACAAAAAGCCATAAAACTGAGCAAACTGTCCATCAACACCACCATTTTTCAGCTGAGTTGTTTCTGTGGAGCATACAAGTTACCTTACACTGTTTACTGATCACCTCGTGGTATTTTGTCATGAGTAAAGCCCCTCCCACACCACCACCCGTGAATGCAGCGGGTCCCCTCCCTTCCTCCCCCCCACATCTATGAGGGTCGCACCCACTGTCTGTCCCGGAGCTGGCATGAGAACAAACGTACTCTTGGATGAGCTCACTTGAACCACGCTGTACAGAGAGAGCTGTTTCAGGCTGAGTGGTGCTCTTTTGGGCGACATCTGCTGATGTCATTTCCTACTGAGTTACAGCCAATCAGCGTGAGTTAACCAAAAGACTTGGCAAGTCCACCGGGCCATTCCAGGTACCTACCCCTGATCAGGTACTCAGAAAAGTCTTCAGCCGGCCCCGTCAAGTGGAGACTCACGTGTCCCTGAAGTTCCGACAGTGGAAACGCTACTTATGTGGGTGTGTGTAATGCAGCGGTACGCAATAGGCGGGCTGGACGTGGCCCTCTCTTTGTGGCCCCCGAATCCCGCGCACACGCCCCACCCCCGACAGACTGGGGGGTGTATAGAGCTGAGGAAAATAATTAATCAATGCATCGAGATGCAGGCATAAACCATTCAGCATCATAGACGAGTACCATGATCAGTTATAGTTGAATGTAGTTGTGTTACTTTAACGCCGGCACCAGCGTAGCATCCAAATCTGTCAGAGAGGTGTTCTCCACATTTACCGGGTAGGAGACTTTGGTCTGCCTTTAGCTGGTGCTGCAGCGCTGAGCGCTGGAGTTGTAACCTGAGACCAAACCCGAACCGAATCAGCCCGATCGGTTCTGTTGGATTTGGGCCGTGAATTATGTTAATTGAGTGGGTTGTCACCGGCGCGCTCCGCTCGCTCAATCAGCGACTGAGAGACCGAGAGAGAGGGAGAGGATCGGAGGACGCTCCTCCAAACACGCATTATTACACTCAACAAAAATATAAACGCAGCACCTTTGTTTCTGCTCCAATTTTTCATGAGATGGACTTAAAGATCTAAAATTCATTCCAGATGCACAATATCACCATTTCTCTCAAACATTGTTCACAAATCAGTCTAAATGTGTGATAGTGAGCACTTCTGCTTTGCTGAGATAATCCATCCCACCTCACATGTGTGCCGCATCAAGATGCTGATCCGACATCATAAGTAGTGCAACAGGAAGTTGTAGCTGCCCCCCAGCACCAACACCACCAATCACACACACACACATTTGTGCCTTCTTCACTGTAATGTGTATGCTGTTGTTGTTACATAACCTTTTTGTACTCACACAGGCTTGCTCTAGTCTTTAACTCAAACTGAATTGCTGGTTTCACATGCTTAGATCAGGAGTCAAGGGCTTGCTTTTTTATTTCCTGTTCATATTACGTTAGAGGTTCAAGTCCCGATGACTGTAGACTCACAGCTCCTCGCTCTTTGTTGCAGGCCACCTGTGAAAGGGGCTTTGCTGCCATGGAGGAGTCCCATCAGAAAGTGATTGAAGAGCTGCAGAGGAAACACCAGAGAGAGCTGGAGAACCTGCAGGAGGAGAAAGAAAGGCTTCTGGCTGAGGAAACAGCCGCAACAATCGCAGGTAAATACCTTTTTCAAAAATACACCAGCTACTGCAGACCTGCCAACCTGGACACATTTTGCGTAGCCAGTACGCAATTTGGCATCTATTTACGCTGGCACGACTCACCCCTCTGAACTACGCAAAAAGTTGCAGATACGTGAGTTGAGTTCTGTGGCAAATATGCACGAGTGGTACTCATGTCTGACAACACGACTCAGCGGCGTGGTGAACACGTTTAAGCCAATCATCGTAGAGAAGCAGAGAAAAACCAGAGCTAGCTAATCTGCCTAGCCTATAGCGTAACACCCCCGCCCCCCTCCTCCCTGCTTTGTCCTGCCAGCTACTCCTCTCTCCCTCCGGTTCGCCACTCGCTGCTGTTCTGGTAAGGTAAACTGTGTGTGTGCGTGTGTCCACATGTGTGTGTGTGTGTGTGTGTCCGTGTGTGTGTTCGCGTGCGTTCGTGTGTGTATAAAATTTTCCGTCCAGTGAATGGGGAGATTACAGAGTGAAAAGCTATGGAGTTGCAAAAGTCCGTGAAAAACGCAGCACAAGTGGCACTCAAAAATGTTGACGAGGTTGGCAGGTCTGCATCTGTGAAGTTTTAGAGAAGTTAAAGCTGTTTGTGTTTTATCAGCTATTGAAGCGATGAAGAACGCCCACCGGACAGAGCTGGAGAAGGAGCTGGACAAAGCTCGCAAGGCTAGTAGCAATGCAGAAAACGCAGATATCGAAGAGATCCGCAGACAGCATGAGTGAGTCCTGTTCTCTTAATAATCTTCTTCCAACTCTGGCTGTATTTGGTTAGAAATTATCACCAGTGCTGGGCGATGAAACCATAGCAAAATGTATTTTGAAATACCTTTCCTCGATAGACTAGAAAGCAGCTCTGATACAAAGAACAGACGAACAGCTAGTCGCTGCGCTGAACCAACCGGTGCGAGGAACGGAGCCGCACAGTCGCAGACGCACTGCTAAAAGCTAATGTTGGTGTAGCTCATTATTAAAAATAATGATGATACATGACCCGCACTTGTGTAGCGCCTCTCAGAGTAAAGACTCCAAAGCGCTTTACGCTACAGTGTATCATTCATCCGTTCACACACATTCACACACTGATGTTGATGAGCTATGATGTAGCCACAGCTGCCCTGGGGCGCACTGACAGAGATGAGGCTGACGAGCACAGGCGCCACCGGTCCCTCCGACCACCACCAGCAGGCAAGGGGGGGTCAAGTGTCTTGCCCAAGGACACAACAGCACAACAGCAGAATTCTCTGCCAGGTTCGAACCTGCAACCTTGTGATTACTGGACATCCCACTCTACCCATTGTTGTCTTAACGTACGTGGTTTTAATCAGTGGCAGAGATGGCACTCGCAGTCCCAAAAGGTGTGTGTAGTGACCGCGGGGGGCCGGTCGATCCGAAACACCGGGGAAGATGTTCCGTCTCAGTCCACTCCTGGTAGTCACTGATGATTTTGTTTATGTCCTCAAAAACGAAATTCTTCTGGAAATGGGTTTGGGACACTTGAGTGTTGAACAGGATAGACAAGATGGCCGCTGGACAGGTGTGCCTGTGAGAGGCTCTCCAAACAATTAAAGAAGATTCTATTTAAAAGTGTTTGGAATGATGAAAATTCGTGTGGAAATCCTCTGAAACCAAGACCTTTAACTGCAAGTTGATAAATTTATGACTGGAGCTGTGGAATATGCCAAAACCAGGGCAAAAGCAATCCTCCAAACAAATGGAAGAAGGTGCTCACAAACAAATGGAGAACAATCAACTGGAATCAGCTGAGGACATGACATCAACAAAATCTTCAGGTATGGCTGAAATACTCAAAGAACTGAGAGAATTTTGAACTGAAACATCAGCCAGCTTTGGAGCATTAAAAACAGAATTGAATGTGCTACGAGCAGAGTTCACAAGCATCAAAAAAAGAATGGAGGAAGCTGAAGAGAGAATTGTTGAGAGTGAAGACTATGCAATGAAAACCTCCAATGTGTTAATACAAGTGGTTCAGATGCAAAAACAACTAGAAATGAAATGTGAGGCACTTGAGAGCCAAGCTCGCAAAAAAACTATAAGAATCTACTCTGTACCTGAGGGTTGTGAAGAAAATAACATCATTGAGTTCGTGAACAAACTGGCCCGTGAAAAACTGGATGTGATTGATGATTTGAATATTGAGAGAGCACATCGTGTTGGGCCAAAGATGGGACAAAGGGAGCGCCCCAGAGCAAACTTGGTTCGATTCCAGTCATACGCCATGAAACAGAAAGTATTGGAGGCTGCTTGGAGAAAAAGGAATGTTCAAGTGACAGACCAAAGGATTTATTTCGATGAGGATTTTACAAGCGCTGTGTTCAAGGAGCGGGCTAAATACAAGGAGGTGCGGAAAATACTCAACGAAAGAAAAGTGAAGTCACGGATCTTGTTTCCAGCGAGACTGAAACTCTTTTGTGAAGATGGAAAAGTGAAGGTGTATAGTGACCCCCATGCTGCTGCTATTGGACTACGTGAGTTTGGAGTAAACATGAATATTCCAGAAGAGGTTCCCGATCTGGAATCAACGCTGAGGAGCGCAGGATGGGAGTCAGTTCATGCTCAACGGAGAACAAGCCCTGATCATGAATTGATTACAGGAGTCAACACTCTTCTGAAAAGTCACAAGAGTTGAGGTACTTTTGTGAAAAATAGTTGATGGCAAATTCTGCTGTGAAAACTCTGAAAAGATTTGTTGTTACTGAACGTAACACACTTGACTATGAAAACAATATTGATCCAGATGGTAATCTGTTAAATACAATTAATGATAACTGTAAATATTACACAAATGATCAGTTTAATAGTTCTGTAGATTTAGGTCATTTCTCACTTATCCACTTTAATTGTAGAAGTCTTTACGTTAGTTTTGACCAAATTAATGCATATATGAAAACATTTAAGCACCAATTTGAAGTGATTGCTTTATCTGAAACATGGTTAAATGAAGAAAAGGGTATAGATTTTGATATGGTAGGGTACCATTTGTTTTATACAAACAGAGGAAAGAAAAAAGGTGGAGGGGTTGCACTGTACGTCAAAAGTGCCTTGAAGTGTAAAATACTGGAGTCCATGGCAGTAGCTGTGGAAGATGTGATGAAATGTGTAGCTGTTGAAATAGAAATGGAAAAAACTAGAAACATTATAGTAGCCTGTATATATAGAACACCTGGCTCCAATTTACAATGTTTTAAAGAAAGATGCGAAACTCTCATAGATGGATTAAATGACAACAAATCCTGGTTAATATGTGGAGATTTCAATATTGATTTACTTAACCAGAGAAACAAAATGACTAGAGACTTTATGGATGTGATGTCCAGCAGGAGTTTATATCCTGTGATCACTCAGCCTACTAGAATCACCAGTACCTGTGCTACATTAATAGACAATATTTATACAAATGAAATTGGGAAGACAGCTAACAGTGGTCTCCTAATTAGTGATATAAGTGATCATCTACCAATTTTTATAATACATAAAAATGTATTCAAAAAACCTAAGGAGTTAGATCAGATAAAACATGTTAGAATAAGGACAGAGGATGCTATAACAGCATTTTGTAATGACTTGTTGAAGGAGAACTGGAGTGGGGTTTATGTGAGGGATGTGAACCTGGCATATGATACGTTCTTAAAAACATATAAATCTTTATATGATAAGAACTGCCCTGTAGTTGTCTGTAGAAAAAAGATAATTATGAATGTAGAACCATGGTTAACTAGGGGATTATTAAAATCTTGTAAAAGGAAAAACAAATTATATAGAGATTTTGTCAAATACCAAACCAAAGCCACAGAAATCAAGTACAAAATATACAAAAATAAATTGACATCATTCAGGGTATCCGCGGGTCCTTAAAAAGTCTTAAAAAGTCTTAAATTTGCTTTTCCAAATTTAAGGCCTTAAAAATCCTTAAAAATGACAAATAATCCTTAAATACAGTTTCCAAAGAAAGGTCTTAAATTACCAAAGACCCAATAAACAAGATCAGTTTATTTCAATTTTCATGAATTTCTATTTAGTGTTCAGCATTTTTTGTGTATGATATTGGCATAAGCGGAACCGTACACATTCAGTTGGTTGTGAAAGGGGGCTTTTTTAGATGAGCACATAAGCTGGTTAAGCTAGTGGGAGATTGCGCCATGGGGACATGCAACTTTTATGGTAACTGGATGGTTAATCCCACATTCGCAATAGCAGGAAATTATAGTTTCAATTTAATTTTAAAAAGTAGCTTAAATTTGGTCAAACTGGCCTTAAAAAAGGTCTTAAAAAGTCTTAAATTTGGCTCCCTTAAACCTGCAGATACCCTGATCATTAATAAGACAAGCAAAAAAAGATCATTATAATTTAAGGCTGAAGGAAAGCATAGGTGACATGAAAAGAACATGGAGAATTCTGAATAGTGTTATAAGATCCAGGTCTCAGCATGCCCGTTATCCAGATTTTTTTTACTAACGGAGATAAGATCTTGAGGGATAAAGCTGAGGTGGTAAATGAACTTAATTCATTTTTTGTAAACATAGGACCAAGTTTGGCCAAATCTCTGGAAACACAAACTAATGAAGCTGGAAAAATACAAGGAGGGAGCAAAATTTTACAGTCTATGTTTTTAGGGGATGTAAGTGAAAATGAAGTTCTGACGATAGTTAGGAAAAGTAAAAATAAAACATCCACAGACTGTGACGGGATTGACATGATGATTGTAAAGAAAACTATTGATTATGTTGTTAAACCATTCACTTATATCTGTAATGTGTCTGTTCAGAGTGGTACATTTCCAGAAAAAATGAAAACTGCAAAAGTAATTCCAATTTTTAAAAATGCTGATAAACATAAGTTTGATAATTATAGACCAATCTCAGTGCTTTCTCAGTTTTCTAAAGTGCTTGAGAAATGGTTTGTTCAGAAACTAGATAACTTTATTGAGAAGGAAAACCTCCTGAGTGAGAGTCAGTATGGGTTTCGATCACATAAATCTACATCCCTAGCTTTATTGGAATGAAATGAAGAACTTTCATCAGCAATAGAAAAAAAACAATAAACAGTGGGTTTGTTTATTGATTTAAAAAAGGCATTTGACACAATAGATCACAGTATTTTACTCTCCAAGCTGAGGGATTATGGGATACGTGGAATCGCCCATGACTGGTTAAGTAGTTATTTGATCAATAGAAATCAGTTTGTACAGTTAGATGATGAAATTTCAGATTCACTAGAGATTACACACGGTGTCCCACAGGGGTCAGTGTTGGGCCCTAAGCTTTTTATTCTATATATAAATGACATTTGTGATGTGTCCAAAGTATTACAGTTCATATTGTTTGCTGATGACACGAATATATTTTGTTCTGGAAATGATATAGAAATTATTATTCGAAATATGGTTTGTGAAATGTCTAATCTTAAGAAGTGGTTTAATGACAATAAATTATTTCTCAATTGGAATAAAACAAAATTCATGGTTTTTGGTACCAGAAAAACTAATGATTTAGTTACTTTGTCTATTGATGTTTTTTTAATTGATAGAGTAAATGAAGTCAGATTCTTAGGGGTTCTCTTGGACCATAAACTTACTTGGAAATCCCATATAAAATATATAAAACAAAAAATATCCAAAAGTATTGGAATTTTAAACAAAGTCAAAGGTTTTCTAGAAATTTCAACGCTTCAGGCATTATATTACTCATTTATCTTACCATACTTAACTTATTGTATTGAGGTTTGGGGCAATACATATAAAACAAACACTAATCCTTTGTTTCTGTTACAGAAGAAAGTTTTGCGAATTCTATATAAAGCAAATCCAAGAGAACATACTAACAAATATTTTGTTCTATCTAAAATTATGAAATTCAAAGACTTAGTTAACTTGAAAATTTTACTAATTATGTTTAAGGCTAGAAATAATTTGCTGCCAACTAATCTACAAAGGTTCTTTGTTTTAATCCCAAAAAATGATAAGAGTAGAAAGAAACCAGAGTTTAAAAGGATATTTGTTCGTACTACATTAAAGCAAATGTATATATATATATATGGTGTGAAATTATGGAATAACCTGGATGATGAATTAAAAAAATGTACAACTACTGATCAATTCAAAAAAATGTATAAAGATAAAGTGCTAAAATCGTATGATTTGGTGAGTTGAGGATGGAGGATTAATGTTTTAGTAGTGATATTATTTGTGGAAGTAAGAGAGCGGTTTATTTTTTGTGTATAAGGCTATTTTGTACTTTTTGTTATTTATCTTGTCTTAGTTAAAGGGGGTAGGTCATATAAGATTTTTTCTTCTTCCTCCCCCTATTTCACTCGAATGCTTATATTCTGGTTTGAAGTTTGTATATTTAAACTTTGAGTGAAATAAATTATTGAATTGAATTTAATTGAATGTCACGGTGAAGAGTGTCACATTAATACCTTCTAGTGAGGGATGGACCATCAAGCTGCTTGGTGTTATGTTGGTAGTAAAAACGGTTCACCTCTGATGAACCCCGATGTCCGGTCTGACGAGGACCGAAGCAGCAGAGTCTTTGATTGTTTTCTCTTCTCCCATCATGCTGCTGCGTTTCAGGGAGGAGCTGTGTTCCTTCCAGAGGGAAATTGAGGTGTTGTCAGAACAGTATTCCCAAAAGTGCCTGGAAAACGCCCACCTGGCCCAGGCGCTGGAGGCTGAGAGGCAGGCCCTCAGGCAGTGTCAGAGAGAGAACCAGGAGCTCAACGCACACAACCAGGTACACACACACTACTGCTTTAACTGGGAATGTCCCAAACTGATTATTGAGAGACCATCAGCTCCTGTTGCTGCCAGTCTGAACTCTGATTCATGTTGAAGTATTTTGTCCTAAATTAATCAAAGTGAAAGTATTCCTGAGATTCTTAACATTTTCATTCATTTATACTTCTGCGTCGGAGCAGAGACACACAACGCCATTGTGTGTCGGATTGTGCGATTGTTACTCGTAGCATGTATACAAAACAGCAGGCAAAAAACTCCAGAGCAACCAGTGACTCCGCCCTCTAGCCAATCAGCGGCCAGGGTCACGATGCTGGCCCGACTCAGCCTTGCCAGGCAGGTACCTCAATGTAGCAGGGACTAAAAATTAAAGGAAAATACTGAACCGTGCCCTTGGGAACAGTGGTCGGGCCGAGCTGCACCGGTCCGAGTTGCTCCGAGTCATGGGTGTAGATTTGGCATGGACGGAAGTGACACGTGTCCCTACCAATATCCAGTGATGACTAAATAGTCCCCACCAATAATCTGACCGCCTCCACTAAAAAAACAAGCCTGTCAAATTTCTCGTTACCCTAGAAGTACAGAAAGGGTTACAGAACGTTCTCTCCTGGAGTCCTACCTCCGTAACGCATAAGCCTGGTGTGATTGGCTGCACATGTTGTCACGTGAGAGTCACATGACAAACTACGCCGGTTAGCAGCGCCAAAGCTAGAAGGAAAACGTTCAGTCACTCTTGTGTGCTCCACAGATGCCGGTGGATATGCGCTCCACCAGCATCTGCATCTTGCGCATGGCCACAGTAACATTCTCAAAGAGGCACCACCAAATATATATTTAACACACGATCGTTCATAAATGCTTTGGTACTTTCTGTCTTTTATTCGTGGCTGACGCACATCGCTGCTGCGCTCATCACCCGTGCTCCACACATATATATACATATATATATATATATACATATATATGTGTATATATGTATATGTATATATGTATATAATATGCATATATATATATATATATATATATATATATATATATATATATATATATGTATATATATATATATATATATATGTATATATGTATATATATATATATATATATATATATACATATATATATATGTATATATATATATATATATATATATATATATACATATATATATATATATATATATATATATGTATATGTATATATATATATATATATATATATATATATATATATACATATGTATATATATATATATATATATATATACATATGTACACATATATATGTGTATATATGTACATTTATAAGTCCCCACCAATGTCAAGAGCAAATCTACCCCACCGCTCTGAGTAGTGTTCCTGCAAAATGCAGTTTTATTCACCCGTGACTGAAGTAGTACAAAATACGCAGCATGCGTTGTATTCGTGGACGGAAATGATGGAGATAAAAAAACTGTGGGTTTAGCGGTGGCAACAGCAGGAAGAGATGGAGGAGAATAAGAGACAAATTTGTCCGTGCTAAAAAGTCTCTGAAATGGGTAAACACATTAGTAAACACCCTATCGTGGGCCGGATAAAAGACTGTAATGGTGGCAGGATACCACGGCACAGTGCTACGCCCTCTGATGTCCTGGCGAGGAATTGCTTTGCAACACTGCCCATGTGACAGGGAAGCCTGAAAATAAAATGTCTCCATCAATGCGTGTGCGTGTCAGTGGCGCCGACAGAAGTATAAATTAGGCTGAAGTCTGATTGAGTTAGCCATGTCTCTTTATCGGGTCACTGATTGGGCCCTATCGGGACCCCCTTGCTTCCAAACATGGAGTCACACATTGTTCCTGAAAAACAGCAGTGCTTTTATTCTAAGCTTCTTCTGGACAATTTCAGGAGTTAAACAACCGTCTGGCAGCAGAAATCAGAAACATGCGCTCCATGACTTCTGAGGAAGGAGCGGGAGATTCTAACACCACCATACATGGAAAAGAGCTGTATGAGTTGGAGGTAAGACCTGATCAACCAGAGTGGAACCAGCAGGGTCTGGATGTGACTATTTAGAGATGAGCTGAATGCTCTTAGTTCTAGTTGTGCAGCACCAGGCCAAAGAGCAAAGGTGACAGATCATCTGCTGCTGTGGCCCCCCCCAGACTCTGGACCTCTCTCCCCCTGAGCCTGAGATCAGTGGATTCAGTGGTCTCCTTTAAAAAACAGCTGAAAACTCACTTGTTCAGGCTGGTTTTGGTGACCTTCGTCACCCTCTCCTGATTCTGCTCTTTCTAACTATTCCGCCTTTCCTGGGATCTGCTGATTTCCCTCTTTCCTGTTCATTTTCTCTCTCCCTTTCCTTACATGTAATTTACATTTAATCACAGTTTTTATTTTTTCTCATTTTAAAGTGACAGTGTGTGTTTTCCCTGGTGATAGGGGGCAGCAGATATCTAAATCATTGCAAGCTAGCATTATTTTTGTGTTCAAGCAAGACTTTACCAACGGATGGCCATTAGGGTCAAAAGTCCTTGGGAGCGCAGCCTTCAGCAAAATAGCAAGAACATGAGATTCCCTTTCATCACTGGCAATGAGTCGAGAGGTAAATGTGTAAAAGAACAAAGTTTATTAATGCTGAAAGTTTTCTAACCGTTTGTTACAAATCAGTAAATGCATTCTGTCCTCACGGGCTTCCGTAGAAGGAAACATGCTATCCAATATGGCGTCACCCAGAAACTCTGACCTGCTCCCGTGTATTTTAGACGGAATTTTTATGGTTATATGTAATGAAACTGCCAATATTTTTCAACAGCTGGTTATCTTTTAACTCGTTTACAAAATTTCAATGGATATTTCCAGAGTCTAATGGTAAAAACTACACATTGTCACTTTAAACATATTTTTTTATCTTTTTTTTTTAGTGTTTTTATATTTTAAATTTATTGTGTTTTTTTTTTAAGCACCTCGTGATGTTTATAAATAGTAAATGGCCTGTATTTAATATAGTGCCTTCTAGAGTCCTGGAACCCCCCAAGGCACTTTACAACACAATCAGTCATTCACACACTGGTGGGGATGAGCTACTATGTAGCCACTGCTGCCCTGGGGCGCAGTGACAGAGGTGAGGCTGCTAAGCTCTGGTGCCACCGGCCCCTCCAACCACCACCAGCAGCAGGTGAGGGGGCTTAAGTGTCTTGCTCAAGGGCACAGCAACAGACTGAGCGGGGCTCGAACCTGCAACCTTCCAGTTAGAGGGCAAGGACTTAACTCCTGTGCCACCGTCGCCCCACATCTTGAGAGGCGCTGATTGTTTTCTCTGTTTTTCTCCCTCTGGGAACTTTAACTTCATTCTTGTCTCGTTCAGGTGATGTTGAGGGTGAAGGAGTCCGAGGTCCAGTACCTGAAGCAGGAGATCAACTCTCTGAAGGAGGAGCTGCAGGCTTCCCAAAGAGTAAATGTCAACACTGCCCTTTGAGCGAGTTAATCCGAGAATTTCGAGGCAAATAAATCTGTTTTCAGTGTTTAACTCCAACCCTATTAAACCCATGTCTTCCTAGGACAAGAAGTATGCAACAGATAAGTACAAGGACATCTACACAGAGCTGAGCATCGTCAAGGCCAAAGCAGAACGAGATGTTGGCCGGCTCAGAGAGCAGCTGCAGCTGGCTCACGAAGCGCTCGGAGAGCCGTCACCGGAAGACGTGGAACGAGGAGGATACGGTACAAGCCCAGCTCACAAATCCCAGACTTTACATCATAGCAGAATCCATTACACCGACTGGTTTTCCCCAAACAGACATCATGAAATCCAAAAGTAACCCTGACATCCTCAAGATGGCTGCTGCCGCAGCCAAACGCTCAGAGCGCACCATGAGGTCAAAGGTAGGTGAAGAGGCTCATCCATCTCACCAGAGCAGAAACACGGGGAACAGGTCTAGAGCTTTGCTGCCACCTACAGCTCACCTGTAGAGTTGCATGTGATGGTGCAGTCGTGGGATTTTGTTGGCAATAAAACTCCACAGTGGTCTAACACACACATGCTGGTGTGTGTGTTTGTTTTTTCCTCCCCTTCTGTCCTCAGTCTGTGAATCGAGACATGCCCTGGGACACTTAGGCAGCTGAAGACTTGTAGGCTTCCTCCCCCTTCTCTTTTAGGTAAACCAAACCATCCACACCCTGTTATTCTCCACTACAGAGATACAAGTCACTGCTACACACACACACACACACACAGATTTATCCACCAAACCGGGTTCAGTGTTAAACTGGGACCAGAGCGTCTTTAAGATTAGTTTAGTTTTCCCTGGTTACACGTCTCCCCACCCTCACCCTCTAAAACTGGTGCTAACTCAGAGGACACAATCACTCACAGCAGCCGTTTGTAAGAGATTTGAAGCAAAATCGCTGCTTTTTCGGACTCCGAGGACACTGCCATGCTGGATTTCTGTTTACTAAATGCGTGCGCCACAGTAAAACGATCATGTGAGACGTAGGGATGGGTACCTTTGACATTTGAATCGATTCGGTACTAATTCCCGGTACCTAGGAATCAATACCGGTACTTAACGGTACCAATTTTCGATACTTTTGAGTGTTTAATATTTTAATTCTTTTTTATAATAAAATAAATATTTTTCTCAATATAGAACCATATTTGATAAATATCACGATAAATAACATACAGTACAACTGTTTGTATTTTAACATTGTCCTTGAGTTTTATAAGCTGATAATTAAACTGAAGCAAACATCTTTACTGTGAACTAAATTTACTGCGTATCTTCATTCCTTTTGCCGTCCTTTTCATTTGATTTTTCCTACTGGGAAGTTAGAATTTACGAGGAGAAAGCAAACGCACCATTAGCTGATAACAACGGTGGCAATGGAAGCTAACATATCAAGCTAACGTTATCTTAAACAGTTTATTTAGCTGCTGGAGCAGATTTAAACGATGATGCCTCACACTTAGATCGTTGTCGCTGGTTTCATCTTCACCCAATCACCCGTCGCATTTAGTAAAGTGAAGCCAAACTTTAGAGCGCGTTCATGTTCTTCTAGTCGGAAATTCGGAGTTCCGAGGAGAAAGCGAACGCACCATTAGCGAAACGGAAGCTAACATATCGAGCTAACGTTATCTTAAACATTTTATTTACCTACTGGAGCAGATTAAGATGAGGATGTCTCACTTAGATCGTTGTCGCTGGTTTCATCATCACCCAGTTACCCATCACATTTAGTGAAGTGGACCCAAGCTTTAGCGTGTGTTCTTTCTACCATGCTGCTCTGTTTACAACTGGCTCGCAGCGACCGACGACATAACTCTCTTGCGCATGCGCAGCTGTCTAGGCAAGTTCTCGTTATGAAGGGCGGGTACCGAAACGAGGCACCGTTTCAAATGACATGAATCGGTGCTCATTCGGTACTATGGAACTCAGTCAGTACCTTAAAAAGTACCGAATTCGGTACCCATCACTATGTGAGAGCCACTTCACTACTTTCTCGTTACGCTCACAACAAAGTTGTCTTAGATAACAACAGCTCAGAGTTTGAAATCATTACAAATGTACTTTTTTCATGAAACAAGTGGTCACAAGAGGTTGGAATGAGACACCTGTTCTCAGCTCACCTTTCGGCCGAGGAGTCGAGGAGACCAACCGCTAACAGAAATGTTTGACCTCCATGTTTACAAACTCCATTTTAATCCAACTTGGATTAGTTTAAAACCCTCCAGCCTGAATGGAGTCTGCTTAGCAAGCTTGTGTCGTGTTTTTAATCTCCAGCTACAGTGTTAGAATGGGTCAGACGCCTTCAGCATCAGGGTTTCTAAACCTGGTTGGCTGTTCCCGGATCAGCAGCTGGTGTTTTTAGAGCCTGCGTGTGTTTGACGAACACTGAACAGGTCCATAAAGAACATTAGAAGTGGATAACATCTGCCCTTAGACAACGTAGTGGTGTGGTTTAGACATCTCTTAGCAGGAATAATGAGACAGGAGCAGGATCAAATATTTACAGGAGAGATATTTTATTTGATGTGAGACTGAGTTGGTCTGCAGGTGTAGAAAAGATGGGCTCTGGCACCAGTCCAGGTCGAGCCCTGGAACTTCTTTGGTGGAAAACCCTCTGAGTGGTAACTGTGTGTGTGTGTGTGTGTGTGTGTGTGTGTGTGTGTGTGTGTGTGTGTGTGTGTGTGTGTGTGTGTGTGTGTGTGTGTGTGTGTGTGTGTGTGTGTGTGTGTGTGTGTGTGTGTGTGTGTGTGTGTGTGTGTGTGTGTGTGTCTTCTCACTGGGTGTTAGAGTTCCTCCCACATCTGTACCTGCTGCCCTCTCATCCAAAAGGGTTCTGTAGTTCTGATCGAGTGCTGGGACTTTATGAAGTTAGGGTAAACGTTGCTGTTTTGTTCTCTCGGGGGTCATCCTCTTGTGCAAGACCCTTCTGCATTCCACAAACTCATTTTCAGTTGCAGATGAAGTTCTAGAATAAAAGAAAACATCTTGGTAAAATAGGCTCAGCCTTCAGGAGGAAGACACCTGAGCCATCCTCATCCACACGCCTTCCTTCACTCCTCTTTCAAACCGTCTGTCCTCTCTGTCCAAACGTGTTTTACTGACCTCAAAGGTAACGCTTCTTTACCAAGTTGGATAGAAAAGTGCATTTGCTTTTAAACGTGCGTGTGCGAGGGTCTACACATGCCTAAATGTCTTTAATTCACCATGTCATCACCTCAGCAGCTGTGCCTCCCCGTTTCCTGTCTCCAAAGTGTGCTTATGCCAGAGTCAGAGTGCTTACAGTTGGCACATTTTTAAATCATATGTTTGTGTAAAAATAACGTGCGCAATTGTCGGCCCTGCTTTTGTGCGTTAGCAGCTCTATAAACGAGACCCCTGGTTGTTAACAGTACAACACTGTGGATAGCTGCTCAGAAACTTCAGGTTTCTAGATTCCTATCTTGTGGTCCATTAGGTTGCTGCTGATACTCTCCTGACCAGTGTAGCCAACTCAGCGACTTTGTCGCTGATCCTAAAGACTTTTTGACCCCCGTCAACGACTTTTTTTCCAAAAAGCGCCTAGCGACAAACCTTTCTCAGGACCCGTTGCTACTTTCTGTAGAACTTTCTTGTAGATATTCCGCACAGATTAGCAACAAAGAAACCATTTGCACTCTGAACCGTTCTTCCGGGAGTAAGGAAAGAGAACAATAATCTGCACATGTGCACGAGGACTGACCAATCATAAACCGTTTTCGGCTGGGCCGATTCGCTGAAGACAAAGGTACAGCTGCTGAGCTGGAGACCGCCGATTTACGTCTGCTGCTGCAGACTCACAGTTCTACTAGAGACGGCGCAGGTGTCTACCTGCTATCTCTGATTCTGCAGCCGTCAGACACTTTGGCTTTTCCTGCATTTGGCAAATAAAGTCAATGGGAGTTTCAACTACCGTCCCGTTTACACACGCAGCTCTGTGGCTCATGGGGATGGTTATACCATGAGACACCCGCTCCCCGTTACTCGGTGCGCCGTTATTATCACGATAGAGAGAAAACTAGAGAAGATGAGAAACTATGAGGTGTAAAAAACCGCTTTTTAGGAAAATGTCTGTGAGAATGAGGAGAGCAGGTCTGAGTTATATCCTACAACAGAACTGTTTGGATCACCACACCATATCTGTCTTAATGTCACTTTAGTAATACTTTTGGAATTTATTCTACATATCAAAGCAATTTGGGCCATTTTAATCATACTAATTAATAATTTTAACACATAACAGTTTTTATTTTCCTCCCTTTTAGTCCAAAATACATATCTATCTATCTATCTATCTATCTATCTATCTATCTATCTGTCTATCTATCTATCTATCTATCTATCTATCTATCTATCTATCATCTATCTATCATCTATCTATCATCTATCTATCTATCATCTATCTATCATCTATCATCTATCTATCTATCTATCTATCTATCTATCTATCTATCTATCTATCTATCTATCTATCTATCTATCTATCTATCTATCTATCTATCTATCTATCTATCTATCTATCTATCTATCTATCTATCTATCTATATCTATATATATATATATATATCTTTTAGATGCTATGGGGGAAATGAATGCCAATGTGGCGTGGTGACGTCATCCATATGCAAATTAGCACGTGATGTCACCTGGCGACATCTAGCGACTTTTGGGGGGAACTTCAGCTACTTTCAGTCCAAAACCGTTGGCAACACTGCTCCTGACTTGGTGTTTTTCTCTCCTCTCTAGAGTCTGAAGGAAGGGCTGACGGCGGAGCAGAAACTCCACCTGTTTGATAACAAAGACTCTAAGGAGTTCTGACTGCGACACTCGGTGCTGGGCTGCATGATCAGAAGCCACTATGTTAATATATCTATGTATTCAGTTACACCACACACTGGTCACACAACACAGATCTTATCTAATGAACACCACACGGCATGAAGTCTGAGTTACATGTAGAGTCTGCATTCCATGCACTTCAGTTTACTGTGACATTTTTGTATTTTTCCTGCTTTGTCTTCTTGTAAATAATGTTTTTAAAATGCCATGTGTACACTAAAACTCTGACTGTGTAAGCTACTGTTTTAACTCTAGTCTGTTGCTAGCCAGAGACGTAGCGGTGATGTCCGATGGCACAACCACATGATGAGAAGCCTTAGGAACTAGTCTAATCTGCACGTTAGCGCTCTGCCTCTCCATCATCAGAGCACAGATGGGGGTGTAGGAATTTTACCGTTCATCTTCAATCTAAATCAACAATCTCTCTGGAAACACTCAACCCCACATGTTGGTTGGCTGGCTATATTTTGAATATTTGCATACATTTTGACACACACACACACTACAGTTTTCAGTCCAGCTGTACAGGACTTAGTCTTTGTAGTCTTTCTTGTTCAGTGGCAGTTTCTTAATATTTATTTAAATGATTGGGATTATTATTTCAGCATCCCCGTTCCTCTGTACCCTGACTGTATATATAAAGCAAATACACACCAACTGACTACAGGTTTATTAGCAATAAATATTTTTGCACCCTTTGCATTATCTGATGTGGAGTTCTTCTGTTAACATTTCAAACTGTTGCCAGTTTCCTGCCTTCATCAGAATCTCGCAGACTAGAAAACATGACCTTGCCAGTAGTAAAAAAAAAAAAAAGGTTTGTTTCATAATAGAATAGTTCTAAAATCCAACCCACAACAAAAGTCAAAGATGCCAAATATGATTGGTTGAACTAGAAAAGCATCACAAAAAATCTAACTAAAAAGGAACAAGATGAAGCCCTCACCACGTCCACTTACTGCCATAAATAGTCAATGCAAAGTGCCTTGTGGACCTCATGCATATACATAAGCCGGCTGTTGCAGCGCTCCACCAATGACATGGCGACCGTAGATCAAGGCAGATCAAGGAAGCACAATTTCACAGAAGCAGAAGTTGAGGTACCTGTGGGTGAGGTGGAGAAATGAAAGGAAGTGCTTTTGCAAAACAAATAAGAGAAAGTCCACGGAGTGGCACAGCGTTGCTGAAGCTGTCAATGCTGAGTTCTTCAGAGAGATCTGTGGACAAGGCCGGATTATAGTATGGGCAAACGGCACAGGCCCAGGGGCCCACAGCCACAAGGGGGCCCACGCGAGTAGCAGTCTTTTTTTTTTTTTTTTTGTGCAGCACTCTTAACGTTGGAGAAAAAAGTTAACAAGTAATTAAAATTGCACCCACATTTTCTGTTACCACACATTTATTTTAATAATTGTAGTTTTTGCATCTTTACTGCTCCGCTTCAGCCCTCTCCCCCTCTCCCTGCGCAGCGGCCACAAACTCTGGTGCGTCTGCAGCCTCTCAGAGTTCCTGCTGCTCTAAACATTAAAATAATTATTTCATTTTCTGTTCCTCATTTCTGATTACCTTCAGTGGTGTCTGTTTGTTGCAACCACCAGGTACAAAACTAATTTGTTTTTATTTGACTATTTTTCTGTCCTGTCTGTTTATCTTCCTGCATCTCCTCTCAATCCTAAAGAAAAACTGCTACCTGGCTTCATATTTTTTCACCTAATGAGTTCAAAAAGATCTACCAACCGCAAATATAGCGGAGTGCGCGCTGACCGCACCGGTGAGGTGAAGCCACCGGAGGACGAAACAGGTGATGCGCTGCGCTCCGCAGCAGCAAAACGCATTAGGCGCAAATAAAAGACAGAAAGCATGAAAGGATATGAGCCGAGATAAACGATCACGTGTTAAATTTGGTTTTGAGGTGGCGACACTTTGAGAATGCTACTGTGGCCGTGCTCAGAACGCAGCTGTCTGGAGCGCATCAACGATCAGAGCTCTGCGCCTCTCAGTTCTAAGTAATCCCCAGCGAGTCCACATAGATAATGTAATATAAGTAGAACCAGGGTCATTTTCCAGTTAAAAAATAATTTACAGTCCATCTTCCCTAATGTTTGTGGCCCTGTGGATTTTTCTAACTCTACCAGTTACAAATTGTGAAGGGGAACGATTTTCACAAATGACAAGAATAAAAAATGAACTGAGATCAACACAAACTCAACAGCGCCTCAGTGCACTGTCACTGATGGCTATTGAATCTCAGCTTGTCAGGAATCTGGACTTTGATGACATTGTAAATGAATTTAGTCATAGAAAGCAGTTTTTCTGAAGGCAAGAGAGGAGACAAAAAGAGGAGGAAGAAGCCAGGAGACAAAACTTAGCACATTGTGCCCAGGGGCCCCTGCAATGATAATCCGGCCCTGTCTGTGGCGGGTATAAAAAAAAAAACGTCCTATCTGAAGGCGGAGGCAAAAAAAAAGATATTTTGCCACGGCCAGAGTGTGTCTGCCACTGGCGGAGGCCCTGGCACCTCTGATCCCCCACCACTCGCCGTTAGGATCTCAGCAGTACTCGGACCGGCAAGCGTGCGTGGCATCGTGCCGGAGAAGGAGGGAGGCACTGACCATGCAGAGGAGACTGGTAACGTTTAAGCCTTTTATTAATGCAGATCAAATGTGTCTGTCATTAAAGTATAAAACAAAACCAAATCTCGTTTCCCCCCAGTGACTGGACGAAGCGTCCAACGAGGCATCCCGGACGGCAACTGAAGATGTGGCTGCAGGGGGGTTGCTTGTTCTGTATGAACATGAAGCAGTACAAATGATAATGCTGCTGGAATTCATGACATCCTCCTCAGTTGCAGCACTGCAGGAGGGGGGCCAAGATGGCACCACTGTAAGACGCTTTTTTACGGCGCTGGTGAAACTTTTCGTTCAAAGCTTGAATTTGCTTGCTTTAGCCCCTAAAAAATGTAACTAGTATCTTAGCTCTTGTGAGGGACCATGAAGGGAACCTTTTGACCCACATTATTCCTTCTTTCATTGACTTTTTATTTTTCTCTTTGTTTGACTCCCGCTGTATTTATTGCTAGCTAACGAGCTCGACGTGGCTTGCTAACTCTGTGAAAAAGGAGAAACTCCAACTGCCAAAGTTTCGAATTTCTTTGACGATACTAATACACCTCCAAATCTGAGACCATGGTTCTCGACCGGAAAAGGGTGGCTTGCCAACTCCGGGTCGGGGGAGAAGTCCTACCTCAAGTGGAGGAGTTTAAGTATCTCGGGGTCTTGTTCACGTGTGAGGGTAGGAGGGATCGGGAGATCGACAGGCGGATTGGTTCGGCGTCTGCAGTGATGCGGACGCTGAGATGATCTGTCGTGGTGAAGAGGGAGCTGAGCCAGAAAGCCAGGCTCTCGATTTACCGGTCGATCTACGTCCCAATCCTGACCTATGGTCATGAGCTTTGGGTAATGACCGAAAGAACGAGATCGCGGATACAAGCGGCCGAAATGAGTTTCCTCCATAGGGTTGCCGGGCTCAGCCTTAGAGATAGGGTGAGGAGCTCGTACATTCGGGAGGGACTTGGAGTAGAACCGCTGCTCCACTGAATTGAAAGGAGTCGGTTGAGGTGGTTTGGGCATCTGGTCAGTATGCCTCCTGGACGCCTCCCTGGGGAGGTGTTTCGGGCATGTCATGCCGGCAGGAGGCCCCCGGGTCGACCCAGGACACGTTGGAGAGGTTACATCTCCAATCTGGTCCGGGAACGCCTTGGGGTCCTGCTGGTGGAGGTGGCCGGGGAGAGGACGGTCTGGAGCTCCCTAGTTGGGATGCTGCCCCCGCGACCCGGACCCAGATAAGCGGAGGAAGACGACGACGACGATATTAATACAGGTGAGGACATGGAGACAATGGAGGTGACAACGGAGTGCTTTAAACGATGCCATTCATATGCTAAACAACAACCTGTGGATGACGACTCTCCCACCAGGAGCCCACAGAAAAAAGTCAGGATGTATATTTTTTACAGGAGACTCATTCTTCTTCAAAAGATGTTACATTTTGGCGTAATCAATGGGGGGGGGGGGGGGGGGGGGGGGGAGGAGGCTATTTTTTCTCATGGTACTAATTTTTTAGGGGGTGTTTTAATTTTATTTCATCCTAAATTTAACATTGAAGTCATATACACCGAGGTTTCAGAAGATGGCAGATGGATTCTGTTGGTCATTAGATGTGGAGATAATTTTTTATTTTAGTCAATGTTTATGGCTTTAATTCTAGGGTTTCTAACATCACGCTCCTCAATTCTTTATCTGATAAAATCCTCATGGAATTGAACAAATTTCCTTCAGCATTTGTGGTTGTTGGCGGTGATTTTAACGAAGCTCCAAATTATTTTTCAGATAGATTTCCTGCAAAAGGTAGTCCAGATCATTTTAACCCTGTTATTTATGATTTCTGTGGTAAACTTTCCTTACTAGATGCCCTGAGAATTTTACACCCTTTGGAAAATAACCTCTTTACTTGGTTTAAAACCGACCTTTCTCAAAAATTGTGTATAGATTTGTGGCTAATCTCTGATAATTTACCTCCCTGGGTTCGAAGTTGTAATATTGCTATTGCTTCCTTAACTGATCATGCTGGGATAGATATATTTTTATCAAATTTAAGATCCACTAATTGTAGCAAACCTGGATATTGGAAATTAAACTCTTCCTTGCTACAAAAAGATGATTACTGCTTGGGCATTAAAAAAATTGCTACTAAATTCAATTCAATGTCTGAAATTACACCTACCCTAAAATGGGAGCTTTTCAAATTTGAATGTCAGCACTTCTCAATGCGCTTTGGAAAGCAACAAATAAGAGATCAGAATAAAGCTTATACTAATTATTTAAAAGAGTTTAATGAAATTGTAAGTATACCTGTTCTCAGTAAGGAAGATAAAGCGTGTTTGCACTCATTAAGGGGAAATTTAGACCTTTATTTCCAGAAAAAGGCAAGGGGAGCTTTTATAAGGTCTCGGGCTAAATGGTTGGAACACGGAGAAAAAAAACTCATCCTTCTTTTTAATCTGGAGAAAAAATGTGGAGAGGCAAGAAAAATATCTACTTTATTTATTAATGACAATCTCTCAAAAGATGAAAATGAAATTTCTTCCTTTATCTCTAACTTTTATCAGAAGCTGTACTCATCCTTGTTTGTGCCTCAAGCCTCTCAGGATTTTTTTGATTGTGTTTCCCCATTCATTCCTAAAATCTCCCGGGGGAATTGTGGGCTTTGTGAAAGTCCAATTACGCTTGATGAACTGAAGAAGACTATTACAAAAATGCCATCTAATAAAAGTCCATGCCTCGATGGGTTGCCTTATGAATTTTACCAAACATTTAGGGATGACTTAAAATATATGTTGTTAGAAGCCTTCATGGATTGTGCCAAAAATACGGACCTGACTGTCTCTATGAAGCAAGGTGTAATATCTTTAATTCCCAAACCTCATTATTTGGATAATTGGCGTCCTATAACGTTACTAAATTCAGACTATAAAATACTTGCATCACTATACGCAAATAGATTAAAATTTTGCTTAGAAGAAATTATCTCTGTAACACAGTCAGGATTTATGAAAGGTCGACACATTAACAATATCAGGCTTGTTTTAGATATTTTAGATTATGGACATTTGTTTGATGAAAAGTCATTGATTTTGTTTTTGAACTTTA